TAATATGCTCTATCAAGTTGGCACTGTTATCGAATGTCTCCAATGACAGGAGGCAAAAGCTTGCTATAATCAGTTTTTCATAGATTTTCTAGGTGAATGACGATTGATCGAAGGTGGGGTCGACCAACGCTTCTCCTTTGGATTAATGGAACTCTCATCACATCTCCTCCAAACGTCGATCCATTTACTATAGTTTGATTTGCAAGGAATCCTCTATCGAATCAATTAATTGGGTCTCGAAGTCAAGCAAGATAGAGTGGTAGTGTGGTTTACTGAATTCCATGGTTAGGGAGAGAAGTGCCCCCTCAGTTGGACGTTCAACGGGTATACGATGCTCTTGAGATGTCAGCACCATGTTAGGTAGGGAAACTTCGATTAGTGTCAATGCAGGTGATGGTTGAGCCGATGACCACAGTTAAGCTGGTGGCACGCTTATTGGGCTAATTGTGACAACTTGTATCATGCTCGTTAACATCTGCACTTGTTAGATGAGATTAAATGACACTTTAGCAGAGACAAACATGTGGCCTAGGAATGCAGGGCTCAAGTTGTTAAATAAACACCAATATCACATCGATGTTTACATCGAGGTGAATGTGTTCATGTGCAAAAAGGGTGATTGCCACCCCCATTGAGTGAAAGTACTATAAGTTAAGGGTAAAGTCTTATCGTTCGAGTATTCATTGAGAGGGTCAACATGTAAGCGTTCCTACAATATCAGACCCTTCTTTTAGCACAAAAAATGTTGAGAGAAGAAATCGTTAAAGTTACGATCAACTCGATATTGTCTATACCCATATGCGTAGAATTGTTTGAGGTATTTTCGAGATGGAAACACTGAGCTCCTAAGGTACCACTTTTATGAAGATCGAGGTCGATGGATGTTTCTCGACTTGATTCCTCTAATGCCCAAGTTAGTAATCCGAGATATATGAGTACGAACACGAGTAATGAAAAAAACGTAAACCTCCAACTTATTATGTTGAAGATGAGTTTTATACTTGGTTGTAAAGGGGCAAAATATTTAATAAAATATTTTGCAGAAAGACAACCTCTAACGGTCTCCCCTCGATCTCTTTTCCACATGGGCAATAAAGGTGAGAGCAGTCCATAACTATTGAACTCTTACCCACACGGGTAGACAGGTAGAAGGTGACATTATAATGTATTTTCTATTATTTATATTTTTCACAAATATAATAACTATGATTCATAACATCAAAAATTAGCATCGAGTTTGTCACGTCACCCACAGATGAAGATTGTCTGATTGAGTAGCATATAAAAATTAAAATACTATTGATAGGGAAAGTGCCAGTACTACCAACTCATCATAACACCCGAGTTAAGGAGGCCACCTAAGCAAAAGTACGAAAGCTCCCGCCAACTACCTATAGCCACCGATTGGGGATCAACCCACGATCTCTGCCTATCCCGACTTTCCAAAGAGAGCCTGTACTCACTCTTTGCTGGCACCACAACTGAAGAAAGGGTCATGCCCCGGTACTGACTCGTAGTGTAGGATTCCTGACACTACAAGATGACTCCCCCACGGGTAAGGCAGTCTATCTGCCCAGATCAGTTGGCTCCCTCGTACAAGCCACTTCTCTGCGCTTGCTACGTGCAGGCCAACTCTCCATAGTGGCTCTCTATGCTCACGTCTCACGCCAACTCTCGACATCATCTCTCCAGGAAGGATCTATACTTTCGATCTTGAATCTAAGTCAAGCCGACTCGTTAGTCGACGGCCCAGTGTAATAACAACTATCAAAGCAGATTTATACAAACAAGGATTAACACAAATGAATCAAAGCAGATTAATACAAACAAGGCTTAACACAAATGAATCGAATGTGACGGCAAACAAGCTGAAGTAATTATTAGGCTACTCCAGTGCGGTCAACTGAATCAGTGAAACGATCGGCGAGAAGACACAGCTGATTGCAATTGCTCTTCACTTCACGATGGCTAAGCAATCGGTGCCGGTTATCTGCTGCTCCGCGATGGACACTTCCATGGTGATGCTGCAGTTGAGCATCATCTCGATGTCGCGCTTGTACACGCCCAGCACGCTTACCCTCCCTCGGATGTCCGTGTAGCTCGTCAGCTGCAGCTGGGTGCCGCTGAGGAGGCCCATCGTGAGGTTGAGCTGCGTGGCGACGCGGTCGACGAGCACGTCCACCCGCACGCCCAGCCGCGCCGTGCGGTGGGCGGGCACCTTCCCGATCGGCGCGTAGGCCACGCCCACGGTCTCGCCGCTGTAGTAGAAGTCGGTGGTGCTGTTGCCGAACCGAAAGGAGGCCATGTTGGGGTTCTCGATGGAGATGTCGGCGTCGAGCGTGGCGTTGATCGACAGCGGGCGGCTCCGGTCGGTGCCGAAGTCGAGGTCGATGCGTTCGATGACGAGGGAGTTCATGGTGAGCGTTGGGTCCTTTACCTTGAAGAGGGTGAAGGAGAGGACGAGCACCACGACGCCTACGATGACCGCAGACGCCGCGCAGCAAAGGAAGCAGAAAAGGGCGCACCGGCGCTTGCGGAGGCGCCGCCCAGGTAAACGACCGATGGCAGCGGCGTCGTCGGTGGCGTCCGCCGAAGGCGATGACACCGCGACGGGCTTGGTCTGCTCCTTCTTCTCCATGAGTTGGGGAAAGAAGAGGAGGAGGAGAAGAAGGTTGTGAGCCTTATTGATTGCGTTTGTCTCGATTCTTTGTTTTGGATTAGTTGGGGCGAAGACGGTTGAACGGAGTTAATAGTTGGTTGAATTAAATGCTATCGAGTTGGTGAAGTTTCTTTTTAACTCGTTATATAACCTTTCCTATGTACATAGAAGACCGATGTTAAAACCAATAGAAGTACGCGCAAAGGTATTAATAATGTCTTAACTACATTGAAAATTCTCCACGAAAGGATACGTTTCTAATTGAGTCCACCTCAACGTGTAAGTATTTAATTCCATCTTGCGTAGTATTTTTGAGGAGGAAGAGGAGAGGCTAGTGAATAGCGGCATGCATATCTTCAACAAGCTTGGTCAGGAAGTCGTCAACGGTGACATAGTTGACTTCCGGATAAACATCACAAGCTTCCACCACAACAGCTGGATCAATCTCAAAGTTGGTCTGTTCTCCATTTATATAGACCGAGCGAGCTGCAGCGAGCAGCAAGTTGAGTGGGAATGGAGAAATCTGCATCGAGGTAGCGAGCATATACCTCGAGTCTTCTTTAGGAGCTTCTCTTCAGGGACGTAGCTCCTCTCGAGGGTCTTGCCGCTCTTCTTCTCCCAGAGGGATACGAGCTCGTTAAGAGTGCAGCGGTTAGCAGGTGATCTAATGTAAAGAAAGGGTGGCTGGAAGACCTTTGATGTCGCGGTCGCCTACGATGGAGGCCATGTGAGTCGGAGGAGCAAGGAAGAAGGCATGGACGAAGAAGTAGCAGACGAAGGCGGGAGGGATCAGGCAAGGTTTCGTCTGTTGTTTCAGGCTCAGTGATATTATTGGATTATGTTAATTATACCAGATTTGATGAAGAATTATTGATATATATATTCGATTGTATCTCGGTATCATTTGGTTGAGAAAAGTACAAAAACATCATCTATGATGCTGTGTGCATTACACTTGGATCAGAGATCGAAAAACTTACGTTGTTTGTTCAATTTTGTCGTATAGTTGGCGGATGATCTTTTATTATTATTGTTGGATGTTAGAACTGTTGATAATTATAGTTAAAGTTATTTTCTAAGTTGTTTGTGCTAAAGTTGTTATTATAGTTGGAGCTTTGATAGTGAAATAGAAGATGATGGCTCTAAGTGTTATCCTTGTGTTTATTTTGTATTATCATTTGTTTAAAATCTTATTATTTTGATTGTATTCTTAAATTTTTTTTATTGAATTAAGCTATAATAGTTGGTTCCGTCTTTTTCATTTCTCATCGTAGATACACTTCATTGATCATTAACTTATCATACAAGTGAAATTAGTAAGTCACATGAATTGTTATTATTAGTTTTTTATATTCGTCTTTTAAACTATTAAGAATATGAACAATGACTTTTTCATCACTTAGGGATGACATATTAAAATCAAATCATATATAATAACTTTTAAATTTTACATATAATTAGTAATATTAGTTTTTTCTTGAATTATTTTCATTAAGATAAATAAAAGCCTTAATATGCGAGTTGAGAATGATTACCGAAAGTGATTTATAACTTTGGATCCTACAGTACCACATGAAGAGATTGGTGATGTCATAAAGTCAGTAATTAAGGCTTGAATGGTTTGTAGAATAAGTCAGTAATTTATTATTATGATTTGTTATTAAGGTTGGTTCTTCTAGTATTTAAATATTTTTAGATAAACAATTGAGGGAGCTAGTGACGTAGCCTAATACATAATTAAAAAAACTAACTTAGTGGACTATACTTGTTAGAATACATAATTATCACTTTTGGATAATTCGAAGAGAATTAAAACGATATTGGATATAACCTTAGTAGATTAAGAAGAATTATTGTTTCTAGATAAAAAAACCAATCGTAGTGTCATAACTTACGAAAGAAGACATATTGATGATAAATATGTTGTTGGTCGAATACTATGGATATTCGAAGGAAGAGATCTGTAATAGATCAAGCAAATTAAACATAATGAAATGTCACCTTCGGATCAAATTCAATCAAATTTGAAACGAATCAGATCCGATGGATGAGGTGGAGCGGATCTGATATAGATCAAATATGGAAGAGATCAAATAAATCAGATTTGATGAAGTGGTCTTTGTTGTTTACCTTCTGATCTGATCAGATTTGATAAGGTGAAACTAATCTGATTAGAGGGATGTAGCCACTATGGAGTGATCTGGAATAGATCGATTGTAGTGAGAACGGTCACGCCGTTGCCGACGAAAGTGCTGATGACCACAGCCTTAGTCGGGTGAAGACCGGTGGTTAATGGGCTTCTAGAAACCCAAACCCTTGTTATGAACAACCGAAGCACAGCTGAACATCAACTCAAAATTAACAATTGGCTTCTAGAAATTGCAATGTCGGACGATTTATGAGACAGATGGAATCGCAACAGGCCATGCATGCACTGCCCAATACTTACTGGCCACCGTTGTAACCTACATAGCTGGGCTGGATCACATACGAAATGTACAACAAGATCGCACTTCCCTTCTACTCCCTATCGACTGCTACGAATAGGAAAACCATTTGGACGCCAACCTGCCACAATGGGATCCCAGTGGCGGTCCCACCACCACTTGCTGTTTAACCAATCGCACCCGTCCACGAATGCTACCTCCACTAGCTGTTCCAGCTGTGGCGCACCTGTCTCTCTCTTGTAGTGGTCAATCATGAAAACCTTTTTTCCTTCAAGACGTGTTTACATCTACTTCTAGAAATTCTCTCTCTCTCTCTCTCTCTCTCTCCTCATCTGTATATTAATAAATAAAATAAAATAAAAAAGGCTATACATTTATTATATACCGTGTGGATAAGTAATGCGATCAGAAATGCTCCTTGTGGAACTCAAATCTGGTGCTGCTTTTCTGGTTGTATTCGTAGCACAACTTGTTAAGCTCCTGCGCCAACACCGGTGCGCCACAATAGAATACTCCTGCGCGCAAGACAATAGAGTAAGCGTCTGCCTTGACAAGAAAGCCTCAACACTAGATAAGATCCGCAGTAAATTGCAACTGACCTATCTTGGCGTAAGGGTGCTTAGAGCATATCCTAGAGAAGACTTTCTTCCAATTCGGCCTCGCGAAATGCGTGCGCACCTTCAAACGACAAGAACACTTAGGATGACAAGATTCGGTAGGTTAGCAGAAACCGCAAAGTGAGCATGGGGTTTACTCTGGTGCCCGAAACTATGTCGACGCCATTCTTAGCATGATTGAGAGCTTGGATCATGGTGATCAGTGCCGATCTAGCGTCTCCTTCCTCGTACACGCTTGTCAAGTAATTGTGCATCTCAATTACGCCCTAATTCGATCCCATTTAAATGAGCGAGGACTGATAAGTGAGCTCTTCATATCAAGAGTTCCAGGAGAAATTGTAGGCTTACCCTTTGATCTAACTCGGCCACTTCATTCATAACTCCTTTGAACCAGTCAAAGGAGCCTTGTTCACGTGTCACCCAATAGAAGTATGCATTGGTGGTTCTGAGCGTCCACGTTACTCTTCGCGAAGCCCTCATAAGCGTGGCCAAATCGACACGCTCTCCGTTTTGTGGCTTCGGTGGGCAATCGTCTAAGAGCGCCTCCTGCAAGCACATAGGCAATCGAGATACTTGGAAAGAGCTGATATTTCGGAAGCTGCACGAATCAATGAAATGGACTAATGAAAGGTGTGGTGGCGCTTACGTTTTCCTCCTCCATTTTGACTATGTTGTTGAGGAGATCCTTCAAAATGCTAATGAAAGGCGTGGCACCGATTCCAAGGCCGACGAGCAGAAGAACGTCGTACTTCTTGTAGTCCTGAGCTGGAGCACCGTAAGGCCCGTCTATCAAAAGCTTGGGCAGGCTGCAATTAGAGGGATGAGAGCACCGGCTCTGAGACATCACTGTGAACGTCATGCTAACACTACAAGTATGTTTCCCACGAACCTTTTCTTGGTGGCCTCATCGGCTCTTAGAAGGCCACTCTTTCCCGCCACCGGAGGTTCACAGGCCGCCGCAAACACGCGTCGTAGTTCTCGTGTCCAGTCACCCAGTTGTCTTATGTGGACGCTTAGGTAGTCATCCCCCGGAGCTGAAGTAATGGAGAAGGGATGCCTGTGATAGAAAAGTATATAGAAAGAGTGTCACATAAATAAGAACTCCTACATGCACATATGTATTATAATGGTTTGGCGTCTCAGGGATTACCACTCGAAGGGCGAGACGGCAGGGCACTGAACAAACATGTACTGACCACTCTTATAGCGGAACGCTACGGGCTTCGACATTTGTAGCGTGAGAACATTGCCAGGATATATGGCGACCTGAACACATACAGAAGCCAGTTATCATGCAGAATATTGCAACGCTATGCTAGTTTCTACTGTTGCGGAATCAGTGAGCTACCTTGAGGAGCCGAACTGAGTAATAGCCGGACCTCAGGGCTCTTAGGCTTCTCTCCCCAACGTACAACAGAAGAGGAACTGCAAGATACATCCATGTCTGCATCACGGAGCAGAGTATGCATAGCATTCCAAGCACTCATTAACATCGTAAAAATCAAAGACCTGACGTAATGTAAGAATGTTACCGTCTTTCTGTACCACTCGTGGATGAGGTAGAGGCGTTCTCCGTGGACAATGAGCAACACGTAGACGATGACAAACAGGTGGTGGGAGTACCAGAAAGCATTGAAGCCGGTCAGCCTGTCCAAGGGCTTGGGGAACCTCACCAGGCTTCGGCGGAACCAGTGCGTCGCGAGCGTGAAGGCCACCAACATGCAGACCACCATTATGATGCCAGTCACGCCCTCGAGGCCTCGTACTAGATCCAAGTATGTGGGCTTGGTTTTTCCGAAGTAAGGGCTTAAGGGCGCATACTTCTCACGCGAGGCCGAGATCAGATGGGGGAAGTCGCAGGTAACATGGACGCCGGCGTGGAGGATCACCCCGACCACGATCGCTGCCGCTATCGTCTAAATCGCATTAAAACAGTTAAATCGGACTCGAGAAGTATCGATACAGTATTCACAAGAATCGAACCGACCTTATGAAAGTTGATGTTGTCGTCGAAGGGCAAGGCACGGGCCAACCGGGTGGAGCGAAGCCAGGTGATGGTGTTTCGACACACAGGGAGGAGAATGAGGGCCATGTTGAACTTGAGCGTCTCGGCCGCGCCCTTGGCGGTGGTGATGCAGTACCCCATCACCTGGAACGCGTACCTGTTCCGGTACTGGATGAACTTCCAAGAAAACAGCCCGGCCATCACCCCGATCCACAGTGCCATCACCCACAGCCGCTTCCAGTTCTCCTCCAAGTAGTAGCCCAGCTTGGTGCTCAGCTTCCGGATGGGCCCCTTCTTCCTCAGTCCAGCCAAGTTCTGGCTCAGTGCCTGGCTCGTGTAGCTCAGGGCCTGACTGTAGTTGAGGTACGTGTCCCTTTGCAGCAGCAACGTCTCCAGCTGCCAGAGCTGCCAAACCAGGTACAATCCTTCAGACATTGGAAAAGGACATAATGCGAATCAAGCTTCGATTAGTTTATTAGTCGAGCTCAATTATTGAGAACGATACTTTTTCATTTCTATCAACACGGTTTTCTTCGCTACACAGCCACCAGCAGAAGGCAGTGGCTGACGGGACATGGATTTGGGGAGGGGAGGGGAGGGGGTGTCACGGTCGACAGTCGTTCAACCACTACGATGGCGAGGAAAAGCGATGCTGCACCACGGAATGGCGATGAGAAAGCAGGAGGTGGTTGTGGTAGAAACGCGAGCCGCATGCCGATCATGTTGGACGGCAACCTTGACGTGGTCTCGGCCTTCTAGAAGTGGACGCGGCGGGTACACATCCATGACGACTCACACCAGAATACGCCAACAAAATAAAGTAAAGGGAGTATTCCGAGAAGTCAAAAACTTGGATGGGTAATTTTGGAACCAGGCTGCTTTAGAAATAGATATATGGCGTTCGTCGATGGCCCCCACCAGAAAAAGGAAATAAAAAACACACTAGTCTTCGATCAAACTCGACCCCAACATCGAATTTTCCACAAGTGTAAGAGTTTGCTCGATTTATTATTATTGTATCATTTCATTAGATTTTAAGGATAATTATATTGCTACAGGTCAATAGACGGCTGCATAACTACGTGGTGGCCAGCAATTGGCAATGAGGCTATGCGACGGAAAAGGTATATTAGTCGTTGCCTAACAGTACGTGGCGTGTCCGAGCGTTATTCTACACTGCATACGTTTGGTGGATCATATAAAAAAAAACAAACAGGCAAAGAAATATCCACAACTTTCATAAAAAGGAGAGAGAGTGGGGTTGCGTGGGTTCGCACCTCGATGTAGCCGAGTCTCTCGGGATCCAACTCCTCCATGATTAGAGCTGCGTATTCCTCAGCCTGTTCCTTCAGCCTCGACAGCTTGTTTGCGGACGCGCTCAGCATTATTATCTGAACATGAAAGCTGCTCCATTAGAAAAAGAACAAACAATTCCCAGCATCAAAGTCTGCTTTCACTGACCTAAACACCCCTCACCGACTACCGCTCGAAGCCGTTTACCTCATCATATTCTTTTCACAATCCCCCCACTATTTCCTCCTAACAAATTTATACGTTCATACAAACGAAACGGAAAGTTGGGCGGCTGAGGCGTGCCGCGAGAACCGGCAGGTGCGGGTGGTTGGTTCTGGTGGTGACGGTTTCGCTCAACAACTCGTATGGGTTGGATGTGTGTTCAATTACCAGAAAACAAAAGTGAAAATTAAAGATGGTGGGAAAGTCGAACAAATTTGAAATATCAACAAAAGCTTAAAATAAGTCGTTAGGACATTCCCACGTTGCGCATGTTCACGACTCAAGGAAGAAGAAAAGCAGATCTGACGGAGGGCATTTACCTCTTTTACTTCCTCCTCGGTGATCCGGCCGTCCTCGTTCTTGTCCACCCTGAGGCCACACAGCGAAGGGATCGATAGTAGAATGGCTTAAAAGATGATTCTGAAGAAAGAATGACAAGGAAGTTGTTCATACATGTCGAAGAAGATCTCGAGGCGAGAATCGAAGCTTTGATCGGTGATCTGACACCAGAACTCGTGCAGCTCCTCTTTGCCGATCCGCTCCGCGTTCAATCTTCTCCGCCTGGTCAATGCGTCGAACAACTCCAATGCGAACTCCTTGGAGTCCCTCATGCCTGTTTCGGGCATGCCAGCCGTTAGTTGAATGAATCGTCGGGTTGATTGCGGAAAGGAGAGGAGTGAGGGGTGGAGAGGGAAACCTATGCATTGGGCGAAATCGGAGCGCGAGAGGTAGCCGTCGCGCGCCAGCTTATCGAAGTTGCTCTGGACCTCGTTCCACGCATCGACGCCGTTGGCTTTGTTCCCGCTGATAAATCTGAGGCCACGGAGGGCCTTCTTAGCGCCCGATCGGCTCCGATCCAGCTGCGCTAGCTGCCGCCGCGCCGCGCGGGCGGCCAGGGCGGAGTCCAGCGCTGGGGACACAGCTCCGACGATCCCAGCAGAGGAGGAGGAGGAAGAGGCCGCGGCCGCACCCGCTCGCGACGGGCCGTGGCCCCATGTGAACCGCTTGAGCTCGGCCTTGAGGTCCTCCTTCAGCTGCCGCGCCCGCGCTACCGCCTCCGCTTTCAGCTCCTGGGAGAACTGCCGCAGCCGGTGAGACGAGCTCCGCACGATCGAGGGCGATCGCGAGGCAGCCGACTCGGTGGCGTCGGACAGGTACCCGGCGTCCGCCACGAAGGCCGGCTCGACGCTGCGGAGCACGATTGTATCGTCTCCCTGGAGGTCGAGCGTCACCTCCACGAACTCCTCCTCGCTCTCGTCCGGCGCCTTCCCAGAAGTCCCCGGCGACGAGCCGGCACTGATCGCGCTCCCTCTGGGCACCGTGTCCGACGCCCATCGCCGTTCGTGCCGCGCGGAGCTTCTCATCCCAAGCTATTCGACTTCGGACCTCGGAGCGGACCGAGGGGCCGCGAGGCTTTTGTATGGCTCGGAGATCAACGAGGAGAAGAGGACGACTGTTATAAAGGCGTCGCCCAACGCGCTTGGAATCTTTTCGGAAAAGGCACCGCTACGCGTCGACGCCAAAAGAAAGGAGTTAAAGAGCGGTATATATAGAGCAGCACTCAATACTCATCAATGACGAAGCCACACAAATAAATTAAAGGAGAGCGAGGAAAAGGACAGGGAGAGATCACCGTGTGATCTGAGGAGGAGGAGGAAAGAGAGGGAAGGGAATAAACCTCTTGCCATCTTCTTCCTTCCAACTTGCAGCGAGAATGCACAGAGGCCTCTTCTGATGGCAGCACCGAGAAGGGGTGGGCTTTAACCAAGGCATGCAGCAACGACTGGGCATTTATTTAGGAGAGTGTCATAATAAATGAGTGATAGTAGGTGGCTACAGTGCATATAATGTAATGTAATGTAATGGTCGTGGGTGATGGCAGTAGACGTGGAAAGTGGAGGGAAATAAGGGGATAAGAATCGGCAGAGTTGAAGTGCAGAATCATGCCTGCTAGTGGGATAAGAGCCTCTCCAGTACTTAATACATCTCTACGAGAAAACTTACATTGGAAGGCAGGAAGAGGGCTTGCAAAAGTCTACGAGCCTTACATTGGTCCACCTGCCAAAGACATGTTTGTATGGAAAAGATGTACTCCCCGTTGTACTTTCATATGCTTCAAATTTGCCTAAACCCGGTGGCTCACCTGCATGAGACAGTGACGATTTAATGAAACCCTATCTAATGTCACAATGGCGGAAGCATACGACATGATGATCATCGACCCATACATGTCGATAGAAAATTCCTCATGTCATGTGGCTCTCATATGCTTCACGTGTACGTACACCAGATAGCCATTTCTTTTAGACCCTTAGAATTTTTGGTTGGTAATGCTTGGTGGAGTCACCGAGGATTATATATATATTATGATGTGCCCATGCCAATGGAAGTCAAAAGTTACACTGCGTAAGAGATTGTAGTCTTGAGATTAACAGCATAAAGATAGGAGTGTTACAAAGATTCTGCCTGTGGAGACCTGATGATTGGTCAAGTAGTCTACGTTGAAACGTGCGATCTGCGTGCCGTGTTCGAAGGAACAGCAGAGTAGATCCATTAATACTGATCTTTTGCAGAAGAATTAAGTGAGAAAAGTATAGAGGAAGTGAGAGGGAGGGGAGGGTGGGTGAAGCTGCGCTTTCTCGAGAAGGATGCATATAGGCAAAAGCGACTCTCCCACTCGTCTTGTGGTTTCGAGAGCCAAAACAGTCAAAAGCCTCACCTCCTCCCAATTGATACCCCTTCACAAAAGCAAACGAACGAAACAACCCAAGTGGTCTGCATCAAAAACGACTGCTGCTGATGGTGATGCCACACTGTATTCTGCAGGCTCATCAACTACGCCGACTGGTCATAAACATCACAAGTTAAAGCGTCTTAACGAAGCCATGTTTCACTCCCTGATGCAGTTCCTGCAGGATGCCAAGGGAGAGACGAGGAGTTTTGTGGCTCCAGTTGAACGGGAACAACCTCACAAGATGTGATCTCCATGGAACAGATTCAGACATGACAGATGACGATTCATTTCACCCGCACCCTCTGCTTACTGATCCATCGTCGACCGTGTCATTCTCCAAGGTTGGTGGGTTTTGTTGACTTCGAACGAAGGAAGCTCGGCGTCGCAGTCTAGCTTGGCCACAAGTCTTCTCTGGCCTCTGAGGCAGCAAGATAAAGCTCGAAGCAATTGTTTTTGGATTCACCTTTGGCTGACGCCAGTATTCCATATATACCAATGAGATTCATCCTCTCTCTCTCTCTCTCTCTCAGAGGATAACAAAATCACTAGTCGAACGAGGCGGCGTCAAGTTCATTTAAACAACATCACTGTCCGATTTCTGATCTAACCACTTTAATAACCAGGAAATCAAACAAGCTAACCGGATCGGCTTTTTGCTGATAAAGAAAGGGTTTTCCGGAGAGAACAAACTAGAAGGAGCTCCGAAGTCCTGTAAGTTGATGTAAACAAAGTTTTCTTTTCCTTGGTTGGTTAGTCCTCCAATGCTCCGAAGGTTGAAGTCGATATATATCATCTCCTATTCAAACACTGTTATCAACGAATACAGGTCGAAGAAGGAGAGAGGTGTTAGCGGACATCAGGCCACCGAGCGCTCTCCTTGCAGAAGAACTCGATCGGTTGGAGTCATGCTCAACTCACTGTGAAGATTCTCGGATACGAAGGGACACCAAATCCAATCATAGACGTGCATGAATACACACCAAATTATCTCGAGTGGCTTACGTTCATATGCGTTGTGCGCGTCTGTTTCCTACGGATAACTGCATTCCTGTGGCCTGTGGGATCTAAATGTGCCACGTGAGTAATGAATAAAAAACAAGGGTTGACCATGGTCGTCCCCATCATAGGCCCATAACCCTGTGTGAGGCCCAAGCCCATATACTTTGAATGAATCCAATATCATTGATTTCATGCGTAAATCTTTACTCCTCAAGAAAGCTAGACTTATATTATGATCCAATCTTAATGAGATCCACATGTGACAATAGAGAGTCTAGGAAACCATAATTAGGATATTTATCTCCTAATATTATGATCCAATCTTATGAACTTTCCTTGTATTGAATATTAACCCACCGTCGCAGGGTGAGGGACTGAGGAGGGACGAAGGGATCAAAGCGTTCCACTACACCCCGTTCACGGCCGTGCATTTTGCGACCTATGAGGCCGTCAAGAAGGTTCTTTACGAGATGGATAGCGCCGAAGAACGACAGCGAGGAGAGGCCGTTTGTCCCCCTGACGGTAGATGGTGCGGACGGCGCCCTGGCAAGCGCGGGCGTGTACTCCAAAGCAGTACTTCTGAAGCTTCTTCCCCGTGATCCTCCAAAAAGTCAGCTCAATTATCTGAGATTTCCCTCTTTCGCATTCTTGTCGGCTAACCATAGATTCATTGGCTCACTCACGCTCTGCAGCTCATGCAAGAAGTGTATGCAAATGATCTAAAACCTAGAAAAGCACATTGAGATCCAAGCCATAAAGTTAATGCTTTGCATTTGTGCTGTGGTGTTCTTAGCTTAACTTTTAGTCGATTGTAACTTGGAAGATAGAAACAGGCGACTCCCACTTCGGTCATCATCTCTCTGCTTGACTTGATGGTGGTGACAGCCGCATTGAAGTTGGGTGGTTGCTTAAGTCAAGCCTCCCGACCTTGAACTATCAACATGGAGCTCTTCGTGTACCAAATCCAAAAGATGATGAAGTTGAAGGATGACAAGTTGGCACTGCAAACTGGATATGTTGTATTGATACGTGAGATCGATCAGATAGAGATTCATTTCATGTTGTCAACCACTAAACAATACGACTACATATATCGGATTTGGTTTACAACTTCAGTGCAAGTTTTTATGCTCCTCCAAAACAACATAAACAAGTTGTTGAACTTCACAGCTATTTTACTATTTTATATATCAGCATCGAATGCAAGAGTTCGATTTATAGATTTGCAAGCAATTCAAGTCTTTCATCAGATTTCTTTCACTATATAATTTATTTGAGGAAGCTACGAAAAATACGTGACACGAAGCTTTCCCTGTAGAACAACATAAACCTATGAGCAAGTGAAGATTTAGATCATAGGAGCAAAGATCCAAGAGAAGCATGTAGTATTAGAACAATATTTGGTGTACGATAGGGCATGCAGAAAGATATGGACATGTACAATTAGGAAGCCAATCTATTAGCATTCTCTTGATGCAACCATGAAGAACAAAAGATGACACGCTTCTTTTCAGAAATGACTCTCTGGCAAGCTTATCAGTTTTGCTTTCTTGTTTAGCTATAGATTTGTGTCTGTGTACAGAGATCATCTCTTTGTTTCCTCACGGAAAAAGAGAGAAGACATGAAAGTAAACTAAACAAAATTAAGTAGGTAGCTACCGGAACGAGAGGAACGCTCAGCTGCCACCGCCGGCTGCCGCCGCTGCATTGCTGTTAGCCAGCCAAGTTGACTGGAAGAAATACTCCTCGAAGCCACCATCGTCCGCGAAGAAGGCGGAGCTGACGGACACCCTCCCCGGGGATTTGGTGGTTCCGGTGCTGGTCGTCGACCCATCTATCACCTCCATGCCCAGGAAGAGCATGTCGTCCTCGCCCATCATCTCCACGTCTCCCACCGTCAGCTCATCCTCTTCTTCCTCCTCCTCGCTGTGCTTTAGTATCCGAGGTCGACCCCGGGGAAACAGCTCGTTCTCCACCGAGTTCGCGCGTGGTGCTGCGGCAGCCGGCGACGACAGGGGGCTCGAGGACGGGTGGCTGCCGGGTGACAGCGGATTCTCTCCGTCTCCCCTGCATCCAGAAGATGCAAGCGGCGGCTGGGCGGCGGAGCTGGGATGCGGTAACTTCTGGCGAGTGCTTCCGGAGAGGGAGTTGCGGTGGGTGGGGACGGGGTGGTCGTGCTCCGCGGTGTAGGTGATGACCAGCATCCCTGGCTCCGCCCGGCTTCGCTCCACCTGTTTCCGAGCCTGGCATCCTTTGGAGCTGCTGCACCTGTAATAGCCTCTGCTCACACCCAACCCACCCAGTGGAGTCTCATCATCAAAGATCGGAGAGAAGCAAAAGGAGGAGATGATGTCTTCGATTATAGCCTTACCTTGGATAAGGAGAGCCTTTGATGGGTTTCTGTCCATACTTCCGCCAAGCCCACATATCGGGAGAGATTCCATCAGCTGGTACTTGGCACACCACTTTCTTGTGCTGGTTCTTCCTGGTGCAACAAATCCCCAAACTCACTCCTTTGTGTTGTCTTCTCTGATAATATATAAAGCGAGAGCAGGTGGGATTAGACGAGATGAGCAGATAGAAGGCTACCTTCTCTTAGAACGGAGGGGGTTTCGGGAGACCGGGGGATGAGGCTGCCGAGGTTGCTGCTGGAATTGATGAGGAGCGGTGGCGAAAGCAGGGAAGACAGAGGCAGCTGGGGAGCAGGAAGGGTAGCTCGGCTTCGGGACGGGAGGTGGTGGTTGGAGCTGCCGTTGATGATGGGGTTTGATGCAGGACTTGCAGTGCTCCTCCAGCTGGTGACGGGCGGTCGGCGTCTCCATCGGATCAGGAAAGCCAAAGAACTCGCCCGTTCCTCCTTTTTGAGGAAGAGGAGAAGGAAAAGAAGAGAAGGGATCCGGCGGATCAACCGCCGTGGCCGAGCAGCCCCTCACCACTGCGCGTAGATCCCAGTCGTTGTCGTCCATGAAACGCGAGCTGAAACGGAGTGGAAGATGGGGCGCTAACTTTGTTCTCATATGAGCCTTTTCCAAATTGAGTTGTATGGCAATGGGATCTACCCGTGGCATTTATACCGACGGGGCATGGTGGTGGTCACGGTGGATGCAATGGTGGTGGTGGTGGTGGTGGCAGTGGCAGTGATGGTGGTGGGTGGTGGGGCTAAAAGCAGCCGGGAAATGGCAACGGATCACGACGATCTCCTTCCTTTTATCTCCTCACCTCATCTTAATTAGAACACCTTTGGATATGCCAACTTGACTTCGCCAAAGGTCAAAGGAGCGAGGATATCTCGCTCGATCTATCGACTACCCTTTCTGTCTCTGTCTTCGTTCATCGAAAAGGTCGTCTCTTCGCTTCCCTCCACCAATCCAATTCCAGCGTCCAGACTCCATTATCTATCAGACGAGAGGCGAGAGAGAGAGCGCCACTCCCGCGCTGTAATTTGATCCCTACGAGAACATTTTTCATCCCCATCCCACCGTCGTTCCAGCGATCGGTTGGATGGGACCGCAACGCTCATTTCATTTACGTGCAAAGAGTTATCCAAGTAGATGGACGGTCATAATTAAAAGATACAACCTGCACAGGCTTTCCGAATCATAGCAGGATCCAATATGGTCCTTACGTGCGGATCCGGCTGTACAACCGGGTTCGTTGTTGTTGTTGGGATGCGTGGGAGTGATCTTTATGCTCACCTCTCCCTCTCAAAATATCTATAAATATCTTCTTCCGCTGAATAGTGGGACGTCGGCTTTTCAAGAAAAGGAAGGAGTTGCACACGCTACGGATGTAGGATTAGGGAGCAGTGAGTAGGTTGCGGCCCACCTCCACTGCATGCCGCAGCGCAGCCATGGCTATCTCTCTCTCTCTCGCTCGCTCTGCATCACCAGACGCCAACAAAGCCCATGGCGGGTGGTCGACGCTATTGACTCATGCCGATGCCATCATACCATCATTCTCTCTTTCTCAGCACTTGGGTGATGGAAAGCACTGATCTAAATGTGTCCTCCAAATGTGTCCTCCTTCTCCAAGATGCTTAGTAAAAAATCTCTCTACCAAACGGAAATCTTCTATTCCGTTGAGAAATTTTTCTCCTATAAATAGGAGAGGGATATATTAATGTATTCAAGCTAAAGTTACTTTAATAAAATTACTTCAATAAAACTTCTTCAATAAAGCTTTTTATCTTCTATTCTATATATCTTCTATTATTTTTATCATGGTATCAGAGCCGCTTGCCTAGAGCAAGCTCTCTTCTCGCTGTCGACTTATCACTGTTGCTTCTCCACCTCCGACGGCAAAAGAAAAAGCTTTCTACTACTACTTTTCTGTCGTCATCAGGTCGTCGGTGCGATAAATCTTTCCTCCTTGGCGAATGGCAACTGTCTTCTCCACTGCCACTTTGCGCCAATGTTCATTCCCTTCCGCTGTGGCTTCTTTAGTGCTGCGCTCACCAACACTCTGCAACTTCCTCCTCTGTTGTAACTTCCTCTACTACAGCATTGCTATAGCTTTTTCCATTGCTGCAGCCGTCGTCGTCGCCCTACTCACGAAGTCTCTGGCTTCTTATCTTCTATTCTTTTTATCTTCTATTATTTTCATCAGAATATATATCGATAATTGTACCACAAATGATTGTCATAGTCTAAGACGAACCTAATAAATATGGAATAATACAAATTTAGTCGGATGATTGTAATGTTACTTAGCGATGTACGTATTTCTATATATATATATATATTTGTTGATTCACGTGGCTAGTGAGCATAAAAAGGGATTTCTATGTTTGCATAAGCATAAAGAACATATACTATAGAAACGAACGATTATATTGTTAGAATATAATTTATTTGTTCCTCGTAAATTTAGAGTCGATAGAGGCTCATTGTACATTTTATCATAAGTTGATCTCGGTTGACATCATATCGGTTTGATCCCAAAATTATTAAACCCATCCAACCTCAAATGGGGTTGAATCATGTCAACTCTAAAATTATTAAACCCATCCAACCTCAAATGCGATAAATATTTATTTGATGCTTAAGTTAGTTTTATATTAGAAAGATTTGACCGATGACTTAAATAATATTAGAAAAGTATATAAGAATTTATTTGATACGTAAATTTTTTATGCTAAGATGTTAATGATGTATCGATCATATGTCAATCATTTAGGAGGTAGTCATACGACCCTCCTCCTGATATGTCATCCATATGTTACGGAGGTGGTATTCATATTTTTTTTTTCATAACAATATTAAAGTCGACTTTTTTTTCTTTTTATTTGGCAAAAAAATTTGAATTATGAAGGAAGTCGTCCATGTATTTGAGAAAAGGTGCAATATGGATATCTCAGCTGTATGAGAGAGAAAGAAAGCAAATAAATATATGGGAGGAAGTAACCCCTTTATTTTGCCCTAAACATAGCTCCAAACACATGCATACATAATAATACACTAAAAGGACGCATCCACGACCATAAGCTCTACCACAGTGGATATTGGGGAAGTGCGTGCTCGCTCTAACCGCTGCGGCTCCACACGACATGATCCTGAGGCAGGAAGTGGCAGACGGGCGCCGACCCAGGCTTTATGTCGAGCACCTTGAAAGCAACGTGTTCCGGGTTCCACGCCGTGGTGTCGGTGTGGCACACCGCGGCCGCCTCCACCGTCGTCCCGTCCTTCCCCACCATGTCCACCTCGTACCCCCTGCTCGTCGACGTCGCGTGGCAGTAGAATATGGCGTACGCGTAGGGCTCTGCATGGCATGTCGCCAGCTCCTCCCCGCCCATCTCTCGCACTCCCGACGCAGCGACCGTGTACTCCTGCGCCGGCGTTCCCTCCTTGCTCACCGTCGTGGACGCCGCCTTAACCTTACTTGTCCCCAAGCTTGACGTGCTGAATTCCACCATCGCTTCAAGCGAGGTGGCACACGTCTTCCTCTCTCCCCTCACCGCTGGCTCCTCGCAGTCTCGAAGGGTCTGCTTGATCGCAGCGGCTTCTGCGGAGTTAGGCTCTACGGAGAAGCGGTCGAGGATCTCACGGAGGCGTGTGGATGAGAAGGGGATGGAGTCGGCGGCTCGGCGACGGAGGAAGGAGGCACCGGAGATGGTGTTGGTGAAGTGGAGCTTCATCTTGGCACCCGGGTGGAGGTCCTTCTCGAGGAAGAACAGAGCGACATTAGGGTCGTCGTGGAGCTGGGTGTCGGTGGCGGCGTATCTGTATACGAAGGGCATCCTGCCAACTCTGACGTTTACGCCGGTGCCGCGGTGGTGCTTCCTCCCTCCGACTCCGACTCCGACTCCGACGCCGACGCCGACGCCGACATTAACCCTGGGACCTCCAGGCTTCCTCTGCCCCGTGTTGACTCCAACACCGACCGCCTTCTCGCCAGCGACGACCTCTGCAACTCGCAAGAAACTATAAGCAGGTGGATGAGACAGATATCTGCAACGATGGATAGCTGGGCAGAGAGATCAACCGGTGGTTATAAGGTCACTGATTGCTCTTGGCATGGGAGTGTCGGGTAAGACCGAGTTCCAGTAGATCACTTGGGCAGGAGAAGAGGATGCATGGCATACTGTTGCAAGCTGCAAGCGCAACTAAGCATAAGGTAACAGTCGGAGAATGAGTAGACGACTCGACTGTTTTTACTTACCAAGAGGAGCGAAAAAAGAGACAGGAACTGATCCATCAAACTCACCGAAACAAGAAAAAGTAGTGTCGATGGATTGGAGAAGTGAGGATTTATAGGGAGGGAAAGGGCAGGGCATGGATGATGGCTGCATCACCAGCTAGAACAAAGGAGGGATCGACATGATAGCAATTCAACCGTCCCAGACTCCGGCCACTGAATGCATTTGGCCGGACGCCCCATCTACCGCTGGCTTTGGCCTTATACGGCTGCTTCAAAGCTCGCGTCCGTCTCTCGGAGAAGCAGGTGAGCGCACGAAGACATGGACGGCTTAAATGCCGCATGCCAGACCTGGGTTTCAGGCTCATCTTCCGGCCGGGGGTATCGCCTGATGTTGGCCAAACTGATGATGCATCATCATGCAACGAGTAGACGAGCAGTCGAACGCTTCTGGGTTGAATCGAACGCGTCGTTCCAAGCACGACACCTTCTACGTAAGTTCCCACCATCACCATAACAGGTGTGACCGATTTGGAAGCTGGTCATGCACACAGCTCTGCGTGTCCGAGAGCGCAGGAAATGGGCCGAAGCAAGAAGAGCTCAGCCCAAGTCTCGGACAACGTCTTCAAGTGCGTCGTCCTGAGTCAACTCAGGCCGGTTCTGCAACGTGAGACGGAGAGTCTAAGACGTGAAAGATTCACCACGTCGACTCAGATCGCAAAATAATAAAAGTATTTTTTTATTATCATATTTATTAATTAATTAATTTTTGTATTAGATTATATACATTCATTCGTTTATTTACTTATTAATTTATTATATATATATTAAGAATATTAAAAGGGTAAATTCGTCAAAAAAAATTATTCAATGAATTTTTGTAATACAATTTTAGCCGATAAAACTTACATCGATGCATATTTAAAATATAATTTTAATCTATTATTTATCAAAAACATAAATTCATTTAAATCCTTTTCTACAACCACACATTAGAAATACAAATATATAAATGTGTTTCCTAGCGATTTGATCGTCTCGCATGCTAAGCACCACCACACGAACGGAATCCCGGAGATTCCGGAGCGCAAGGCTTTCGGCACGATGCGGTCGAGCTCCGCCTCACCTCCACACCCACGCCCATGGCGACAGCGGACATGCGTCGGCCTGCCGCTGCATGTGCCTCCGCGCGCGGGTTTAACTCCCAGCCAGTCACGCGCCTCGAAGACTTGGTCTCTTACGTGCTCTGCGTCTCGCGATGCACATGGCACGCAGTGCAGCAGCCCGGAATTAGCTCGATCCCAGTGGAGCTTTTGAAGGAAGAGCGGAGAAGAAAGTTTGAGTGCTCACCTGTTGGGAAATGTTAGTGCTAGGAGGAAGCGGTGTGAGTATCCTGTTCGCCGGCAAATAGATAGATGGAGACGGTGAAAGAAGAATGAATCGAGGCCTGACAGATCATCCGACACTGCAAATGATGCCCATGTCCTGCCATGAATGCTCATCTGGGATTGAATCATGCAGCCAACATAAGCAATATATCTTCGATTATAAATATGTTTTTAAGGTATTCGATCGGATGTGGGGTTCGAGGAAGCATTCACTTCTCCAGGATTCCGGAGCACCTCCGGGATTCTACCTACCTTCGTTTCAACAACAAGAAAGAGGCGCAGGCTATATGGCATACAGTATATGTTGCTGACTCGAAGTGTTTGTAGAAATGCTAGAGAAATAGCTGCTGCACTCGTAAGAAGGAACAGTAGCAGAGGAACTCACTCACAAGAAACAAAGAAATCAACTTCAAATGCACTTCACATCAGCGCTACACAAACTCGCAATCCAATCTCTGTCTCCCTCTTTTTCTCATTCTCCCTGTCACTTGTCAGTCAACACAACCAGGATCAGATATGTACATGACAAAACGACCCGTCTTCTTACATAAGAAGAATCTTGAGCTCAAGTTTGTGATGGCAGCATGCGTTGCTTTGGTTCGGCCATCCAACACTGTTTGATGTCATGAGCTATCCTCTTGGCGTCCACGGAAGTCCCCATCAAGCCCTGTCGCGTGAACCCCACCGCGTACAGGCCCTGCTCTCCCTTCCAGCTATCGGGAAACACCTTCCTCGGAAACCCATCCTTATCCGAGAAGAACTCCCTCTCCTGCCAAAACAGAACCGATGCTTTCATCCTCGACAAAGGTCATCGAGTTGCCCGATGGAATCGTCGTGCATACCTTCAGCCAAGACGCCACGTTGCTCTTGTAGCCGGTCGCTAGGATAATCGCATCGAAGTCTTCGGACCTGCCATCCACGAACTCTGCTCCATGCCCTGTCAGTCGCTTTACGGCGGGGCAAACCTGCACCACATCCCCAAGGTCATCGCACACTCGGATCATTTCCATGTCTCTACCTCGAGCAACAGATCACCTTGATGTCGCCAGACTTGATCTTGGCCAGGGCCCCGACATCGAGGACCGGTGTCTTCCCGGAGAGCGACTTGAGCTCGAGGGGACCCAACCGGGGCCGCCGGAGGCCGTATCGCTGGGTGTCGCCCAGCATGACCCTGGAGACGAGCAAGAGGATGCGGTCCACGGTGCGCATGGGGAGCCACTTTAGGAGCCACATGCAGAGCCCAAAGGTGGACCGCCCCAGCATCTCCCTCGGCAGGATGTGCACCTGGCAATGGTGATCAACAGTGAAAGGCTTCTCGGCAATGCAATCGCTAATGTTACTATCGACAATGGACACATAGTTTACATATTGCATGATATGATATTGTTGTCGGACGTCACATACCGTGCCTCGGTCGTGGTGATGGGACCAGACTTTGGTGGCAAAATGCCTCATGGGAAAGGGAGGCGCACGGCTCTGTGCAACCTTTGGGAGAAAAGAAATCCCAAGAAGAAGAAGAGGGGACGAGAAGGTTTCTTCCGCGTGCGAATGGATCCCGATAAAGTGAAAGATCAGTGTGGAAGAACGCATGGAGGAAAAGAGGATTCCATGGAGAAGCTTTTGTTTTTTCTCTTGGCATGACAAAGCAGCTCATTTCTTTACACAGGTTCGTCGTTGAGGCGGATTAGATTTATGTGTGTTGTGCCATGAACAGCCTCAGGTTTATCTTTCGGCGAACCGGTGATCATTAGAAGTTCGACTACAACCAAAGCAACACTACTGAAAAGGAGCTTTATAAGTTAATTCATAGCTCTGTCTACTTTTTGATGTGTGTGTGTGTGTGTGTGTGTGAGAGAGAGAGAGAGAGAGAGAGAGAGAGAGAGATTCCATGCCAAAGTACTAAGAATGGATGAAACAGAAATGGTTGCACGGAGAAGATGAGCGACGAACCGATTCTCTTACGACGATGCGAGGACGGACACTGTGATTGCAGAGGTCCAAGCAGACCTCCATGCCGGAATTGCCGCAACCGATCACGAGGACCCGCTTGCCTTGGAACTCATCGCCGCTCTTGTACGAGCTGGTGTGGATGATGGGGCCCTTAAATATCGACATGCCATCGATGTCGGGCACGGCCGCCTCAGCATTCTCCCCGGTGGCGACCACCAGCCACCGGGAGACGTACTCCGCCGCCTTGTCGTTCCCGGCCCTGACCGCCCGCACTCGCCATAGCTTGACGCGGCCGTCGTACTCGGCGCTCACCACCGTCTGGTTGAAGCAGGGGCGGATGTGGAACCGGCGGGCGTAGGCCTCGAGGTAGGCCACGAACTGCTGCTTGGTGGGATACGTGGGGAAGCAGGCGGGGAAGGGGGCGAGGGGGAGCTGGCAGAAACGCTTGGGCAGGTGGAGACGGAGGCGGTCGTACGTCTTGAGCTGCCAGAGAGAGGCGATGCAGTTGGACCTCTCCAGGATCATGCTGGGGACGCCCTTCGCCTCGAGGCACGCGGCCACCGCGAGACCCGACGGACCAGCGCCAACGATGATCGACCCGGGAACCCAGATGCTGCGCTCGGCTTCATCTCTGGTCGCCACCTCATGGAAGCCATCGCTCGGTTGATGGAAGGCAAGGGGGGGGCAGAGATGGAACAAGGGATCGTGGAGCGTTTTACCTTCTGCTTCCCTCCAACGCTCCATGAGAGTGCAACGACTGCTAACCGCTCCACTAAACTACAGTTCTAGTAACGCATGCAAGTCGTTTAAGAAGAAGCATAACCTTTGTGGCTGCTGGCACCGCTTCATGCACAGTCTCCCTCTCTTACGCTGAGAGCTTTTTTAGTTCAGTCACTCTGTTCCCTCGCAGTCGCCTCCTCGATGGTTCTAGGAAAGCGAGCAAAAAGAGGGCACCGCTATAGATGAGGAGGAACGGAGAACGAATAGATCCTGTGAACTCGAGATGCCCTTCATATAGTATTTATTTATTATTCCTTGGGGGTGGACACCGTAGATAGAAGCACATACGTAGTAACCAATATGTATTGCGGGGTATTTGGATGCCGGACGGATTTGCCGATCCACACAGTAGTTTCTCACTCACTGACAACTGAAGCCGAAAAGGTAGTGGCTAAGCTCAAGTGCTCTTAAAAGCCGAAGCAGAAGAAACCAAATGGAAATTCTTACGACCTGTACAGAAAAAGCGACAAGTTAAAACCCTTTAACGACAAGCTAAATGGGGTATCGAGGTAAAGAATTCCTGCAACTTTTACAGCCCACAAGACAAAAAAAAGAATGGAAGTAGCAAAGGCACATACACTGTTCATCTGAATAAAATATATCAACTTCTAGAAACAATAAAAGATTAATAAGCCCCATTAACGACGAATATTAGCTTTTGGCAGAGAAGGTTTCCCTATCGAGTGATACAAACATGGGCAATCCTTGCCGTACATTTGCGAGCAGGAATCTGATGGACTACCCACAAAAAAGCTAGGAATCTCTGGAGCACCAGCAACAAAAAGCAAAGGAAGATCCCATGCCACACGATGCACCGGCAACCCACGGCACTCGGACTTCGCATTGCAGAGGCCAATCCAACCCTGTCAGTAGTAATCGATTCGCTCCGGATCCCCTAGTAAGAGCGCGTGCTTGCCTTTCCCCCAAGGACTGCTCCTCTCGACTATTCCCACTTTCGGTTCTTCCTCCCTCCCCTCAACTGTTCCAATCCTCCACCACCACTCCATGTACGGTCTGCTTCTGTCTCTCACCCCTGGCACCATATATCCCATTTGGGTTTTTGGATCGTTCCGGATTCCAGCCTGCACATCCGCCTATCTTTGTGGCAGCGAAGCATTCTTTGGACTTGGTTCCAGGAGATCCGTAACCTAGCTTAAATTTGCAAGCAATCGAAGCTTTTTTAAAAGTAACCAAGGCAAGCCTCGTACTTCGTATCCCACGCTCAGGAATATGGAATCCAGATGACAGCGATGATAGATGGAGAAACAAAAAAGAGAGGAGGACGGGGAATGGAACACAAACAACAACGACTAGACTGACATGCACAACATCCCAAATGGTGGGGCTTGCTGCGCAGCAAACCCACCCATCATTATGAATCTTGAGCGACATGCCATGGGCAGCAGCAGCAGCAGATCGCATCCTCCCCTACTGTGTCAGCTTTAACCGCGAATCACAGTGCCTACAGGTAACAACCCTCCTCATACCACCAAATGATTATTATGCTACACTCTGCTCCCCCCAGTGCAGTGTGCATGGACAGGTGGAAAATCCCATCAAGCGACCACACAGACGCAATACAACAACACGTAAAGAGGATAGGGGACACCATCAGCTTCAATTATACCACATAGACTAGTAATCAACAGTTTAGCATCGAGATGGCCTTTACCTCGCAAAAACAACACAGTTATGGGCTCCAACCATTCACTTATCTTCAAGATCAATGCATAAACAGTACTAGGAATTTTCTTTTCTAGATAGTAGAGTTGCAAGTTCGCTAGATGATTTGCACACAAGGATGTCCAAGTGAACACGATAATGTTCCGATTACACTTTATTTGGTTCAAGTGCTTATCCTTTGCCGAAGCAGTAGATGAACGACATTGGCACTATAAATCTAATCGTGTCAATAAATCAAATCTTAAATGGCTATATGAAGGGCCAGATAGAATCAGTTACATTTCTACTGGAATGTCTTTCACCTAAGAAAGCACTATCCATAGTTGAACATCAAGTGTATTGATGTGTCTGAAACAAATTGAGAAAAGCATATGGCATCTTAACTGTAAAATAATCACCACCGAACTCTGAAAAGTTCCTTCTGATACCAAAGAGGTGCATACTATAAAACCACCACAAGCATGCTCCCTCTAAAAAGCCGAAGAACCTATCTGCTGAACCATATAGTGGAGCTAGTTTTATATTTACAGAGAACTTATACCAGAGGATTATCGTGCTTCTATGACGATACAACAAATTCCTGATAGAGCATGATAAAGGAGCAAGTGATTAAATTTATAGAGAACTTTTACGAGAATTCAGGTCTTCATCATGCTTCTATGATGAAAGCAAATTCCTGATACAGCATGGCAAAGGAGTGATTGATTATATATGAGAATTCAGGACTTTGTCATGCTTCAGTCTGACTTTGACAAAGGAACAATTGACAGTCTCAGTTAAACTAACTATCTTGTCTGACTTTGATAAACTATTAAAACAGCTAAGAAAGCTGGTGGCTAAAGTAACAAATAAAAAAAAGGCATAGGGACACAGGAGTAACTTTTTGCTTAGGAACTAGCAATATTTTGTGAAAGAAAAGTACGAAGGTGTTTGTATAACTTGAACTTCACATTTAGCTCAGATAAAGTATTAAACCGTGTACGGGTAACTCAAATACACATGGAGCCAGCTGGGTAATTGCCAAATGGAATATGCTTTCTCCTTATGGTCCACTTGTTAAATGACTAACATAAAAGGCAACTAAAACAAATTGACAGAACACCTAGCCCTGCTGAGGGCTCAACCAAAACAGCCTTGGATTTCATTTACATGCATCTAATAATCTCATTGATCAATACCATGCAATCCATGACTGATGAAATCAATGAAAAGGCACTACAGTTAGTAAAAACTATTCATTAATGGTAATTAAATGCATGCCTCTGAATAACTAATCATCTTATTGATTTTTTGAACATTCATGTGAAAGTTATCAGAAGCTTTTGATGATACTATTATGATTGTCCTTGTTTATCTGACTGTTAGTTCGTGTCTGCTGCAAGCTTATACAATTTAAATATCCTAGAAAGGCACTATATGCAGTTAAACCCAAGCATTTGTAGCAACAACTTCACTGACCAAAACCCTTTTCAGACACATATATCATCAAGTTATGATTGCCTACAGAAGAAATTGTAATATCCAAGAATAACCAATTAGTCCTTTATTCTGCTTTACGGGGTCATGGAAAAACTTGTCAGGAAAAATATAAAGACCCTCAAAGACGTTCCTCAATTAAGAAAAGTCAATTGTCCATCACGAACTCAAACTACAAGAGCATCAAAGAAGCAGATTATACCTACTTGAGTCACCAGGGTCACTTGCAAGTATGACAAGCTCACAACGCAAGTTGCTAAAGCCTAACAACATCATAGCTTCCATGATTCTAATGCCACCATCAACTGCAAATATACTAACTCACCTTTCTGTATAACCAATCTCTTCTATTTTGTATGCCTATCCTTAAATTATTATTCAGTATGCAATATGAAAGATGTTGAATGTACGGTTTCTGTAAGCAAATTATAGCATCTTTGTTGAAATGTGTCATCTTGAGAACATCTTGAACTAACAAAAATAATGAGTACAAGGATGAAAGGACTATCCATTACCATGGCCAAAATTCATGATTAATTATTTCATATTAAATAGGCATTAGGAATATACTTTCTCATCATTTCCTCCACTCCTACAGAAACTTTTGCAGGAGAATCAGAGGTAGGCCCCGGAGAGTCAGTTGTGGCATTATTTCCAAGGACTTCCAGTGATCACTGTGGGTCATGGAAGCAACTAATATGTAACTTGTAAGTGCTACTGTCACAAACTGAGCTTTTTTGCGATACTGAGAACAAGCATCTCATTACTCAAAACAGAAAAATGTTCCTCAAACTTTTTCCACAAAATAACAACCAGGAGAGAAAACTATTGTTGCTGTGTTAATCTTGATTAAAGATATAGAGAATATTGGCAACTTAAATATTATAGTCCAGCTTTTATAAGGGACACACAAATCAGGTTCCCTGAAGCAGACTGTCACACCATCTCAAATGATTTAAAAAGAAAACAAAGTTTTATTCCGGGAAGCACTAGTGGGGTAAGATGGTAGGTAAATCTAAATTTCCATTTAATTAATGAGAAAGAGAAAGATGGAAAGTGGAAGAAGAAAGGCACTAATGAACAGAAAATGAGGAAACACCCAGAGAAATCAGTAATCCGCTAGCTAAGTTCTATAGAAATCAGTACAAAGTCTAGAACTGATAATAGTGTAATTGAGTAGACATTAGTATACTTTCAAAATACGAAAGCCTGTCAAAACAAAACCTGAACAGTTCAAAGTGAGAATTGTATGGTGAAAGCAATTTATGAAAATTTTGTACTTCACACAATACAGAAAATTGCTGCTCAATCCCTACAAATATTATAACATATAACAGCAGCAGAAAATGACAGAGATTGAGGTTCTATATAATGGCTGAGGAATGCCTCCATTGACATCCACATGAATATATTAAGACTGTAGTGATACTGACCTAACTAACAATCAAGCTTACTATATTTTCCAAGTCAAGAATTATCTTTTTGGAACATACAAGGTTAGTGGCTATGCTAAAGACTGGCATCTAAGATGAGAAATCAATTTAGTTACTTCCCAATGCTAACATCCATATCTATTTTCATGTCACTCTCTTTTTTGAAGGTTAAACCAAGCCACCTAATTTCATTCTACTGACAACATCATTATTATTCTTTATGTACTTTCTTTCAAGTACAAGTAAATGTGGTTTGTATCTATAGATTTGATGATCATTCGATCCTGCTGATTATCCAAGAGTGCTCCACAAAAACATATTTAGTTATATAGTCTTCACCAAATTCAATTGAAAAACTGACATGAAAAAATTCTTAATTTTAAATTCCACAATAACCATCAATATTGGCTATCACTTGAAAAACAATTATGATAATCTTGGCCCCTGTTAATGTATCCCTACGATCTTAAGAATAAGCATGATGCTGTCTCACTGGGCAAATGATTGAGATTCTTACAGAACAACATGCCGTAATGTACCAATTGATTGAAGTCCTGACATAATCCAATAAACAATGTATGCCATTAAGCTGAAAATATTTTGATACAAAGACAAATCATTATCCTTATACACTTGATATTAAGCTTCTGATCCTTTCACTAAAAAGAAAAATTCCCACTGGTCCAATGATAAGATGGTTAATTACCAGATTGTAAAAGGTCATTGGCCGAAACGAAGGAGATATATGTCAATGGCTCTACTTCCGAAGGTGGATCTGCTTCGTTTTATAACTATAAAAATGAAAGATTGTTCCATAACAATCATTCTGTGTATATGTCGATATTCACATGATTGGTAATCATCGAGAGTCTTTGACCAAAATGTACACCCTTCCTTGATCATCAATATAGAGCGTTAACTGAATGGTATAATATTCCAAACACAAAATTATCATATTAAGATGAAGCTCAGAGGAGAAACTAATAGCTGATTGAGGAACCTCACGTTTTGTCGATTAAAATTAGAGGAGACAGACCATATTTACTGAGATAAGATGAAGAGGACATTGAACGGCAGACATCTGCCAGCTCGATATGGAAAGGAACATGAGCTTACATACGATGACAAATAGTGGGCAAACTTGGACCAAATTGTACATGCATACCAAATTGCCAGTCCAGGGATGTTCGCTTGGACCAATTTCTTTTTGACGTTCCAGGAGAGAATGATACGGTCAGCTATTAGGCTACTTCCTATCCTACCTATATATTCTCCTTGAAGCATCGATACAATACGAAGACATAAACAGGGTAAAACACCACATTGATCTTATAATAAAGCTCGGGGCAAACAAGGAGACCTCAAAATCTTACCTGCCACGAAGCCATATCTGAATTGATACTTCATTTATATCCGGATGTAGGGATCGGTGGTGAATCGAGAACTCAGCAAGTTCTCCGTCTTGCTTCCTCTACATTCACTCGTTTCATCCTCCTGATTCTTTCCAAGATTTCCTCCGAACCATGAAGGAACTCCTGAATCCAACAGCGGTAACCGATTGTCGGGATCCCTTGGCACCACCGCAGCGGGATTCACTACCGACATCCGGAGGTCCTAAGGGGCGCTGAAAGATCCGATCAGTCGACGGAGAAGATGCCAACTCGTACGGCGAATCTGACGCCAATGCGAGTGCGGACAGCATCCAGCGAGGAGCTCGACGTTGCGGAAGACGCGGAGTTCCTTGACGAAGAGGAACGCGGAGCCGTCAACGGCGCATATGCCGAAAGCCTGCCGACATCATCCAGGATCCGATCCAGGCACGGCACTGGCGAGGTCCCCGGCGTACTTATCGATCAATAGTTGAGACTACGAGCAGGCAAGAAACCCTAATGGGACGGTGGCAAGGACGTGTATCCCCGCGGGCAGAGGAGAATGAAGGCAAGCTTGCGATCGCGGGATTACGAGATCCAACGAACAGGATGCGTCGAGTTAGTTGAAATGGGGACACATTCCAATTTTCGTTTTTTTAAAGTTATAATTAATTTGTTGCGCAACGAAGAAAGCGAGCCGGCTGAACCGGTTTAATGTGGTTCCATTTAAGATCCGGTCCGATTCGATTTCCTGACGGCCTTCACGAGCATTCCATTAGAGAAGCAAAGTGTGTCAACCTTCGTCCTAGTTTTAGGGTCAAAACCATTCGTGTCACTTCTCCTAACCTCAATCGTCCATCTTATTTGATCAAATACTTCTTTTACCTGTCTCGGGTCACCTCGAAACGGGGAAAGAGGACGAAGTCGCGCCCGGCGTTGGCTGAGCCCACCATGTGCTTCGGTTTCCGAGTTGGAAGATGACACCAAGGACGTTGGCGGCATTTGCTCGAATACCTTGTACGCAGCGCTTCACATCGATGCGCAACAGCTGTTGTGCTCCCGCTGGTCTCCCGCGTCGCTCGAGAAGCCGCCCCGGAAACCATGTGTGGCATCCACGGTATCCACGATTCCGCCCTCTCCATGAGTTCCAAGCAGCTAAGCTACACTTCTGAAGGCATGTTTTGTCCATCAGGCACTCCGACAATACTCGCGCAAGTTCTACAGCAGAGAGAGGACAGACCCTGACGTGGTTCGCGTGCCAAGACGAGAGAAGAGGTGGCGTTGGCGTCTGAGACTGTGTCAGCAAGCAAGTGCGGATCCATCGACGTTAATGCCACTGGAAGCAGGTCATGCAAAAGACAAACAGCAGGTTAGACAGAGAGCATGGATCAGGGGAAGACGTCCCAACCCCCGTCTTGGATATTTAGTCTCCAATTTCCACGCAGTATTTGGAAGCATTTAAGCTTCTGAAACTACGCAATTTCCATGGGCAAACAAAACAATTGCTCGCCAATTTGTTTGATTCGTGGGATTGGTAGAATTATGATCACGAACCTTTAGTTGGAACAACACAGAAACGTTGATACATACATCACGATCATTCTAAGTGTATCACTCCATTTCACAGCGGGGGAAGAACAAAGGAAGTCGAAATGTATTATTCACCCAGGATAGCTTCCCATGTGTCGAGGAAGGCCTCGAGGATTACGGGGTGGTGGAGATGAGAGTTCAGGGAAAGGTAGGAGTGGAGGAGCCTTTCCATGTCGCTTGCGCTGCTCATTTGCCGCTCCACGATCATCTCCACCATGGAGCTTCGGAAATCCATGTACGGATCACTGGACTTCTTCACCACAGGGAATCCGACCTCCATTTCTGCCTCTGCCTTGTGTTTCTTCTCTGCCGAGGAAAGGGAGGCCAATGGCCAAAGCTTACCGGTTGCGGTCCCTCTCAAAGGTTGGTTGCTCTTCATGCTCTTGCTCCCGCTCTTCTTCTTGTTCTTCTTCCTCCTCCCGTTGTTGTTGCAGTAGAACTCGGAGGAGTCGGAAGAAAAGCTCTTCGACGAGAACAGAGTTCCCGACTCTTCCTCTTCCTCGCCGCTGCTGAAGAGACCGAGTTCGCCGTTGCGATCCAAGGAAGAAGAGCTGCTAAATCCATAACCGTTGCTTGACAACAGCTTCCTCGTTGCCTTTCTTCGGCTGCTTCCTCTCCTCCCACAAGCTTTCTTCTTCTTGTCTTCGTCGTGAGAGCGGTAGTAGCGATTCCTCATCGGAGAATCCGGAGGAGCGGGAGGGCACTTGCTTCGCTCGCCAATCTCGGTGACTCTCCTCTCCTTTTTAATCTCGTGACCGGAGCGGCGGGCACCACGGTGAACAGAGCCTTGCACGACGGGAGCAACGCAGTGCTGGTGGCCGCCATCGTTTGAAGGGAACGACAAAGGGTTGCGAAGCTTACGTTGACCGTCGCCGGAGCGGCAGATGGAGGACTCTTCTGGCACTAATTGTTGTCGGAGAGTGCTGCTAGAAAGCTTAATCACATCGGTAGCAGTCGCGGTGGAGCTGCAAGAGGAGCCAAGAAGCATTCGAGCGAACCGATGCTTCAACCCGCTTCTACAAGGACTACTACTTGTGCAAGTCTTATCCATGCGGCCTTGCCTTGAGCTCAACGCTTCATGTCATTGCCCTCTTATTCCCATCTCCTCGGGATGGAGCAAGCCGCTATCTGTAGCGGAATCTTAAGCACATGAACTGTTCCGCTCGTGACTCTGTTCTCTATCAACCACCACTTATATTTTCCAGGTACAGACCTCCAGCGGCAGTAGCAGTAGCAGTAATGTATTGTCCATGCACTGACGATTACTCTCATGTTCCTGACAACCACGCTGCATGATAGGTAAATCCATCTCCCCAGTTTTCTCTCAACCGTTCGTCCATCTTTAGGGTGCTGCTCTGTCGCATCAAAGATGTGTCCATTTGCCTTTGTCTTGCACGTTGGCTTGTATCTGTTGATGGTGCACAAACAAAAGCAGTGGTCAGACTGACTCTATTGACCCTACCGGTATCTTGCTTTAGGCCATATCTCACGGTCATCGAATGCCTTTCTTATCGTTAGATGATCAACTTAAGGGTGAGAAGGGCTGAGGAAAGAGTAAGGAAGCTCCCTCGGTTGTTTTCTTGTAACTTGGCTCTTTGTGTCACAAGCATATATATATATATATACATATATATATATATGTATATATATATATATTGTTAACCACCGCAAAGGCTCATGTGAACAACCAGCTCGAGGACAAACTGGGGAGGCTGTCGAACTCTCGTGCATGGTGAAGTACAATCGGACCGCTTGCACCAGTACGAAGCTGACAAAACAGAGGTGACAAACTACGCAGGTCACACCGCCGAGTTTTAATCCGGTGGAGAAGGAAGGCAAATATTCATGATTGCTCGTGGCGAGTATAATTGCTTGTGTCGCGACGCGGCTCGCCCGCGCATCTGATCCGTATGGCCAATTGGTAACTTCGTATCACGCTGGACACAGCCTCGCAAGTGGCACGTCAACAACTCGTGTACACATTGTGAGCGGTGTAGTAACATGTCGTGTGATGCACAGGTAAAACCGTGAAGGATTTATTATTGCTCCCATATATACTGTAGTACATGACCATTACCGCAATGCAGTCACCTCTGTCAGCGCCGACGAATGCAACCAGTGACATCACCGTCTTCGCCCTCCTTCCCTCCCTCACACGGTATGTTCCATGAAGTGGTTCCAAACACAAACTATTAATTATTTTATTAAGTTTGAACCAATATATTTCAATCCCCCTTAAAAATCCTATCTTAAATTAGAATGTTCACATCTCCTCCACTCAGGCATTTATCGGCCACTCTAACTTTGAGAGGATCCATATACTCTCTATCTTACCTCTGTCTTCTTACATACTCAAACCTCTTAGATCGACTATAATTCTAATTATCACGATATGACATGATAAAATAACAAACTCATTCACTTTGTTGAACTTAGCTACTGACTCAAATTATTCGGATCAAAATTAATTAGAGTATACTAATCAAATTCTTATTAGTCAATCTAAGTCCCGATACACTCATAAGATTAAAATTCTCAACTCTTCTTCGAGTTGCAACAAACACAAACATCCTTTGTTCAAAGATTAAAAACTAGTAAACAACTAAATAACATTACTAATTTAATTAAAAAAAAGGTAACCTGATTTGTGCACGGGAAAAGATACCATTGGATAAAAACAACTTCAAGAAACCAAGAGATCTTAGAAAACACTAGACTATGATTAGAAACTAAGAGATCTCAGAAGACATTAGACTATGATTGGTATGTAAGATTAGCTCGAACGTCCAACCCTCTGAACTGAGAAAATACATTTCGCCGATACCATCACTCAGGAGGTCAATTTATTCTACTGAACAAAAAGAATCTAACAACACTTCATTTACACATGCACATGCATTTATATATGAGTAGTTAATTGGCAGCAAAAGAGGCATGACTGCCAGAAAATGTCAAAAACTTAAGAATCAAGATATTCCAAAATGCTAGTACGGTCGACACAAAATCTAAACACCTTCTACTAGCATTACAACTCTAAATTAAGATTGAATCATGTATTATAGCATTTAATCTCATGACCTGGCCTCATCGGAATAACTGTCATTAAATTGTTGAGTCTGAAATGCTTAAGGTTGAATTTAACAAGTAAATGATAGTACTCCCATTAGACTGTGATGATCAATCCAAGTCCCCCACTTTTTATGTGAGGCTAAGCCAGGTTAATGCAATCTCCCACACATGAGGACTTGAGGTCATTGTCAAAAGCTAAATTTAACCTTATCGGGTGTTTATGATTGTCTTTTGAGCAAACTAGGTGTTGAAGGCAATAAATCTCCAGACAATTGATTTGCACCGTACTAAAATAATCCACAGAGACAGTTATATTCAACAGAACTTACAAAATATCTGCAAAAACAAATTCTCTTATGTATCATTGATGTATCGAAACCATCTTATCGCATTACACTGTGTGATGAGAAGAGTTGTACCTTCTGATATCGAGGATGAGGAGATAATTTTTGGAAAAGAAATGATCTCAATATGGTAAGCATAAAAAAGTAACCATATCATGTCTATTTTCAAGTCACTAGTAACTGATACTAGTTCTCATATTTCACCATAAGCATGATCAAAGTTCAATCATAATATAAAAAATTTCAAAAAGTCTTCCTTTGCTAGAATGTTCGACACAACGCAATATTTTGTGGCCAAAGCTATCTACAAGATGTATATAGAAAAGAATCGAATTCAATAAGCAACCTTTTTTTTCCAGCTTAGTCAAAGCTGACAGTAAAAAAGATACGATGATCGTTCAAATAAAAAAAAAAAGCAACACATAAAACGTGTCAACACGGTTTAGGGTTAAGGAAAACATCAGTTAAAAGCAATGAATGATTTGAATGGCGTGAAGGTTGATAGACTCTTTTGTTTATGGCCACAACAAACAGTTGAATTCAATGATAGGAATAGCCACCTGATAGAATCATCTAAATTTACAGAGTACCTTTTAATTGCTACCTTTGGACAGAGCAATCCTGAAAACTAGTTTTCAACCATGTAAGTTTTGTTTGCTAAAAAGGACAGAAATTGGTTTAAAGGTCATCCAGATTGACACATCAGTATGATACCGAAAGCAAACCTATCATCAATTGCATCAATTCTCATGATGAGCAAGCACGATCGATTATACTACCAAAAGATAATAATTACGTCTGCGAAGACATTGTAAGCATAAAATCGTCGATTCAAGAAAGTTTACGAGTCGACGAATTATATGTTCTAATCAAGGGCACTCGAAAGAACCAATATCCCTAATTGTGTAGGCCAAGGAACCCAAATCCCTAATGGGAAGAACCAAAAACCACAATCAGGAAGTGTAAACTTGCCGATGTTGGAAGGGGACATCAGACGGGGCTGAGGAGCTGGTAGAGTTGGGGTTTGGGCTCGGAGTTCATGCCGATGATGACGATAAGGGGGATGAATCCGTAGTGGGTGATCACCTTGGCCTTCTTCATCGCCCAGGTGCTCCACTCCTTGACGCACTTGGCCGACCGCTCCTCCGACGACTTGGAGCCCTTCCCGGCCTTTTCTTTCCCCTTGAGAGAAACATTGGAAGCCATGGATATCCTTGTCGCCCCTTTTCCTCGACCGAATTCCCAAGCCGCCGTCTCCCACCGAGGCCCAATATACCTTTCACGCAGAAATAATTATAATACCGATATAATTTATTATTTTTAAGAGTATTAATATCAAATAAATTTAAATATAGCATGTAAACAAAGAAAAAGTTAAAAGGGCAGAAAATTTCGTACTATTTTCTTTTTTTTATTTCCAAAAGCCTGCTTACTATATTTTTATAATATCTTTTTGTGTATTTTTTAAATAACCTAAGTTTTAATTTAAATAGCGGATTATGTTTCTAAGGCTTATAGAGTGTAGCGAAGGGTTATATTGACAAGTATGATGATCTAGTAGGGGTGTTCAAACCAGCTTAGAAAATCAAATAAAAATATAATTGAATCCAAACTAAATTGGTTTATTATTGGTTCAATTTTGAATAGTATAAATAATTTTAGTTTTAGGTATCCTTCTTTGGTTTGGTTAATTGATTCGAATAATCGATTTTAATTTAAAAATTATCAATCCGATTAAAATTTCTATCATAAATCCTTAATTGATTTAAATTGATTAATCTAATAAGCTCAAACTGCCTAATTTGGATTAAGGTGTTGGTTTTGGTTCAACTAAATCGAATCAATTCATTTAAAATATATATATATATATATGTATTAAATTACTTAAAAATTATGGTAAAAAAATAATTATAATAATGAAGAACATCATAAAATTTATTTTAAAAACATATATTATGAAGGACTTTTTTTTCTCAAACTTTTTAAGTCCATGTCTAAGAATCTCCAATTACGGATTACTAATGAGTATCAAAGGATCACATCAAAAAATATTTTTTAAATATTAATTTTTATGTAAATGATACCTCGATAACATAATATTTTAATCTCAGAACCATCTTAGATTCACAATAAAGATTCTTCGTATAATACTATATACACGGGTTCGGATCACATTCATGGAAGAAAGATTATTTTTTAATTTCCTATCAAAATATTATTAAAAAAATAAAAAGAGAGACTTCTTCTAGAAAAAAAATTAAAATTTCAAAATTAAGAGTTTTCTGAAAATTCGTCCATATTATATGTATAATTAATATCAACATTAGAAAAATAATATACGCAAAAGGATAGTAAAATATAACACGATAACATAACGGCAGATCCACAAACCAGTCTGGGCGAATACTCTCGCAGGCCGGACTGCCCATCCCGTCCGGCTCGGCATCAAACCTCACCGCCTCTTCTGTCCCCTTCATCTCGGAGAAGGGATCTGTTTCGGCTATATTGTCCAAAGAGAGAACAGCTACATATCCACGCGTCAAAATACGATTCGACAACTTTGGAGACCCTACCTTGGTAGACCTCGAGAAGTCGACGTATATAAATAGCTGGTCTCCGCCGTTTCTCCTACTCTTTCCCCTTTTGTTCGATCGATCGGCGTGGATCATTGTAGGGTTCCTTCTCGTGGTTGTTTACAGAACCCGAGATCGATACGCTTCGTAAGCCGGATTGATTCTTCTTGAGGCGAATCCGAAGTCTTCAGCTCCCGGGTCTGAGATCGATGGCCTCCCGCCGGAGAAAGCTTCTCAAAGTTATCATCCTCGGTGACAGCGGGTGTTGTTTCTTCTCTCTATTCCGTCCTTGATAAGTAAATTATCACATAGTTACTATCTTTTAATGGTGATTCTGGTTTCCTTTGTTTTGCTTGTGACAGGGTTGGGAAGACGTCTCTAATGAATCAGTATCCACTGGCCATTGAAGTCATTGGTAGTTTCATTCTGGCGATGTGCCTCTTGTTTGTTTGCGTGGTATCTGTCTATGTTTCTTGGATTTGTTTGGGTTTGACCTTTAACTACGCTCGTTAGATATGTGAATCGAAAGTTTAGCATCCAGTACAAAGCTACAATCGGCGCCGATTTTTTGACCAAAGAAGTCCAGATTGATGACAGACTGTTCACGTTACAGGTAAGTCTTGGTCTTGCAACCGTGTTGCAATCAACCACTATGTTTTCTAGCGGGTAACAAGAGTAAGATCGGAAATACTCAAACTCACTTTATCCAAGCAAGGGCGATGTTAGTTCTTAAAAATATTGCTTATTATTTTTTATAATTTACTTATTTCATCTTGCTTGGATCTTCATATTGTCTTCTCAGATAGAAAATCTGGAAAAGTACTTTTTCAGGCACCAAACTAGATTGAAGGCCACAGGGTGTCCGAGAAACAGAACCCTTTTATCCCATTTTATATCAATTTTGCTGTATTCTATGCGGAAAGTTTTCAATGATCATGTTGGCTGCTATCTAATTTATCATATAATCTGAATATCTCATACATTACACGGTATGCTAATCTTGGGCTAAAATATTTGGTCCATTGGCACCCTGGGGTCATCATTGAAGAGAAAGGTGTTGTCTTTTCAGGTGTCGTCTAAGAGAAAAAAATTTGGAATTCAGGTCTGCTATGTCACTATCTTGGAGCAAGTATAGAACCAGACTAAGTTCTTGGCCGCTTGGCTGGTTCAAGCGGACTGGTTCAGCTGGTTTTATCCAATCTGATTTCATGGATGATCTAATTGTAAAATTGGACCTTATAGGGGTCCAATTCCCAGTTTTTTGTCCAGTCTGGTTCTGATAATACTAATACTAAAACCTGGACACAGGATGAAGTTGCTGATCTTCTTTCTTAGAGAATCTTTCCTATTTATATATCAGTCTTTGAGACGTCTCAAATTTTTTACATACAAATAATCTCTTTGGGTATGATTTGTTATCGGTTCAAGATCATTGAAAATTTCTCTGTTACACACAGCTGTCTGATGCAAATTTATAGGCCAAATGTGTGTTTGCTGATGAAGTAAAGCTGTCATTTTATGGTATGACACTAAGAATTTAGATGGCAGCTGCATCTTGATTATTTTGAGGGTTTGTTAAGATAAATGAATTTTAAGATTTGAAACGTGATTGATATTGGAATTTTGATGCTGAATTTAAGGAATACAAGCTTGCAAATATTCTTGTGGAGTTCACAACTATACATATTTTTCTTTTTGCTACTGAATTGAGGAACTGAATATCTTGCTGGTTAAATCATTTCTTGGCACCAACTATTATGTTACCGGTATGAGAGAATGATGTCTATGTTGTGCCTAATATCTGATGGCCTAACAACATGATTTTGTTGAGAAGGTTCTGTTGGAATGAAGTCTATGATAGTGATGAGAAATCACAAGTTGATTTTCTAACCCTAGCTATCTTTTAGGTTCAGTGACAAGTTTTTCTTTTGCCTAAACTATAAATAGTAAAAAATACACAATATGTGTTGGATTAAATATAATGTATAACTTTCATAGTAAAGTTTTTAGATGAAAGTAAAACATGAATTAATAAATCTAACTAATGATACATTTTAAAATATTTTTAAATGAAAGTAAAATATAAATTAGTATAAATAAATAATAATACATTCTTAATTAAATTAGTGCAACCTCGAGTTAGTAACCTATATTTGCTAGTAATAATAATTTAGCTTTTCAAAAGCATATTAATGACATGAGCATTAATAATTAATGCTCTAGAATTAAATTATGAGATCATACTTCAAAGTTAACAAAATACTATTGTATAAGCCATAAAAGTACCCATAATTAATGGTTTAAAGTTTACTTTAGAACAAGTATACATGTTTTCTTGTTTGAAATTCAGCACCTCTAGGAAGCCATAAGATCTTCAGTCCTCAAGTGACATCTCATGGACTTTTCGAAGTATCTTTTCCTCAATTGAGAGTTCATTAGTCATTTGAATCATTGCCTGCAGAGAATGTTCAAATTTCAAGCTTGATATGTGTTCTCAGGGATTCAAATGAGGCTGCAATAATTATAAACTGATACTGAATCAAGCAAACTGTCGTTAATATCTCCAAACATCAGTATCCTTTCATAAGATTCATTTAATGATGTGATTGCTTGAAAATCTCAGTTGAAAGAACTTCTGTATTTATCTGTATGAAATGCCCATACAGGACATGACTTCTGAGTTATGGTGTTTTAGTTTTATATAAGCTTCCACCAATATATTGACTTTTTATTTAAGCTTCCACCAACACATTGACTTTCACATCATGCGATTCTTATCATAGACTTGTACAAGATTACCTCCTTGGTTTTCTATGCTAAGGATCCTCCATGCTGTATTTAGAAGGTCAAAATTTTAGACCATTCAATCCCATTCTCTTTGTCCCTTCAGATATGGGATACAGCTGGGCAGGAAAGGTTCCAAAGTCTTGGTGTCGCATTCTATCGTGGTGCAGATTGCTGTGTTCTTGTGTACGATGTTAATGTCATGAAATCATTTGATAACCTCAACAATTGGCGGGAGGAGTTTCTGATTCAGGTAGACAGTCTCTCATCCTGTGCCATCAATTTATATGACAAAGCTTGTGTCTGAATATTTTAATTTCTTTGTAATTGTTCAGGCAAGCCCTTCAGATCCGGAAAATTTCCCGTTCATAGTCTTAGGGAACAAGACAGATATTGATGGTGGAAATAGTCGAGTGGTAAAATATATTCTATTTTATAATTTTTGCATTTTACATACTGATGAAGATATTAGCACTATTTATTTGCTTCTTCATGCAAGTGGTTTATAGTGTTTGATCTCAACTTGACTGTTGACGTTTCAGGTCTCTGAGAAGAAGGCAAAGCACTGGTGCACTTCGAAGGGTAATATCCCCTATTTTGAGACATCTGCCAAGGAGGGCATCAACGTGGAATCTGCTTTTGAGTGTATAGCCAAGATTGCTCTCAAGAATGAACCCGAGGACGACATGTAAGTTCTTCAAATTATTATTATTCTTTGTTCTAAGCTGAAACTTGAATTTGATTTTCGAAGCACATTTAAACTGTATTCCTAACAACACAGGCATTCTGAATCTTCAAGTTAATGTTGAGCTAGTCCTTGTATTTATCGGCAATACTGAAGAGAACTGAGTTTTTTTTTTTTCTTTCCTTCTTTTGCAGTGATTCTTTCTCCTTGGTTGTTTTCTGGTGTATGCACTCTTTCTTACGTTCTCTTAAATTGCCATTTATCGGTGTTTAAGTTACCTGCCACATCTTTGTGTTGCCATTTCTTAATCGAGGACACTTTTGATGCTATATTTAACCTCTTTTGTTACTTTTGATTCATTCTTTATTTGCTATTTTAATGTTGTAAAGAAGTTACTTTTATTGGTGTTGAAGTTATCTACCGGACACTATCGACGTGGCTAGTGGCGGTCGGCAGCAACGATCATCAGGATGTGAATGCTAGATAAAGAAAGACCACCGTAGTTACTTCTATGTGTTCTCAAGTAAAATAAATTCTAGATAGGTTTACGCGCATGCACGTTGTCTTCTGTATGAAGTCCGGGACAAATAATTCATACTAACCATCAATCAAGTTTCCTCTTTTATAGTGCTACATTGTTTCTTTGGATCAATAAAGTTGTACTGTCCTTCAATCAAAGCTTCCTTGTTTTGATGCTACATCGTGCCATTTTATCAGTAAAGTGGTACATTTTCTCATTTTGTGCATTTCAATCCTGTCTTAATTGTAATTCTTTGTACTGAAAGTTGAAGAGGATCAACGATTGGTACTGAAAGGGGAGGATAATGGAATGTCTTAATTGTAATTCTTTGAACTTGCCGATTTGACTGAAAACTCGACCCATATAATTTAACTCGATGGATTTCAAGTTGACTCACTTTAATTTATCCTAATCCCGCTGATCTGATTGTGTGTTTTATTCAGTTTCTAATTGACGAAATAGATAACTAACAACTGAAAAATAAATAGAAAAATATAAAAAATAATCTTAATGGTCGAAACCACTGGGTTGACTTATTCCAATTTTCTCCCACCAGTTATTTCGTCCCGTCACTTGGCCCACCTACGAGTGAAACACCTAAATCGACTTGGGTCGACACCCACCTGCCGAACCAAGCCATGTAAAGCTCCAACAATAGCGATCTCTTTGGTGCGCCTATATATTTAGATACATAGAGCTCTCTCTCTCCGTCTCTGGCTTTCTGCCTCCCCTCGCCATCTCCATCTCCATCTCCGCTACACCTGAACGCCGTGTGCTACACGTGTAGATGGCCGTCGAGGGCGACAAGTACAGATCTTACCTGGTCGGAGAGGGAGAGAAGGACACCCACTGGAGGCACGGCGCCCCTCCCACCTACGATCTCGTCAACAAGCTCTTCGAAGAAGGAAGAACCACGGCACGTTAATCTCTCGCCTCCTCTGCTCTCGTCTTCTTAACGACGAGCTTAACGATGCTTGTTCGGTGACAGGAGTGGCCCAAAGGGTCTCTGGAGGAGACGGTGCAGAACGCCATAAAGACATGGGAGATGGAGCTGTCGCACAAGACGCGGCTGGGGGACTTCAAGTCCATCAGCCCCGCCAAGTTCAAGTTCTTCGTCAACGGGAGGAAGGGGCTGACGGGGGAGGAGACGCTGGCCCTGGGGAGCTACAACGCCTTGCTCCAGACCTCCCTGCCGCCGGAGTTCCAGTACTACAAGGCCGACGCCGAGACCTTCGAGTCGTCACACGATGTGTTCCAGATGGCGTTCCCTCGTGGGTTCGCATGGGAGGTGCTCCGCGTGTACTCGGGGCCTCCGGCCATCGCGTTCAAGTACAGGCACTGGGGCTACATGGAGGGCCCTTACAAAGGTCATGCTCCCACCGGGGAGCTGGTTGAGTTCACCGGTGTGGCTGTTCTCAAGGTAACCATGCATCACAGTCTACACACGCTCTCTGTGTCCCTGTAGTTTTATGGTGTCCGTTCCCATGCAGGTGGACGAACAGTTGAGGGCGGAAGAGGTGGAGATCTATTACGACCCCGGCGAGCTGTTCGCAGGCCTTCTCAAGGGAGAGGTGATCTCTGGTGTTGATTCTGTGGACACCACAGCTTCGAAGCTTCAACCATGTCCTTTTCTCAAGGGCGATCCGTAGAGGAACACCTCGTTGTCTCGACGATGTGCGTCATGGTTATCTGTACTGTGTACTGCTCGAGTATTAAATAAGACTGTTCACGTTAAAATAAATGGTGAGTCAATCCGTATGTAAACAAACATATTATCGTCAAATGCTTTCTAATTCTTTGCGATTATCTCTGAGAAATGTAAAGCATATATCGGTGCCAATCTGCTTCTCACGAATGCGTGCAGAAACGGAAGGTGTGAACCGATCGACACCATTTCGGCATCGACCACTGACTGCTTCGCCGGTCATCCGTAGCGTTTTCGGAGGTGGGCGTGCCGTCATGGGTCGATCTTTCTGCCTTCTTTCATCATCGCTGACGTGTGGCCTCCGAATCGTTTGGCCCACTTCGATTTGGCTGTCGTCGGCTTCATGGTAGGGGGAGGAGGAGGAGCTGCGACGTCTCCGTCGTACTTGCCGTGCGTTCCGTTTCTTGGAAATTGAGAGCCGCTTGAGACAACGTTGTGGCCATTCGGTACACAAACTCGTATGAGCAGATTTTTGGGCGGATATGTCGATCATGACATATTCAATCCATATTTGTTAGGATTGAAGTCAATTCTCACTGCCATCTAAAAGATTTACCAAAAGTGAAAAAGAAGAAAACTAGCAGTGTGTGTCTGTCTATACAAGTTTTCATTAAGACGTGTAAAGAAGTCAGGACGAAAAATTTGTCCATGTAGTCAAATATATAAATTACTTATAAAAGAAAATTGTTGAATTTTGATATGACGAATAGTCTTACCCAATAGGGTCTCAACACGGAGTCCAATCGACTAAAAAATAAAATTTTTATTAGTATGTCAAATATTTACAAAGATTATTATTTACAAAGACTAATTTGAGTGTCGAGAGAATTCTCATCACATATATCTTGTCACAAGTCTTATTTTAATCACACTACATCTTTAGTTACGGACTGAAGTTATCACCAAAAGTAAAAAAAATTATCAGTAAAAGATTTAGTGATAAATTTTGTAGATAATATATTATTTTTGTGAGCTGTGGCAACTTCTATTATTTTTGTAGATAATATATTCAAATTCTGTCATTAAAAATAAATAAATTGATAAAATAATATTTGTGAAAAATATTTGGTAATGGATAACTCTGTTACTCAATGTTTTGATGAAACATTTTAGTGACAACTTAGATTTATCACTAAAAATGAAAAGGGTGATGAATCTATCATTAATAGGTCACTAGATGAAAAGGGTGACGAACCTATCACTAATACTTAAATCAATCATTGAATGAAAAGAGTGATGAATCTATCGTCAATACTTGAATATGTCACTGAATGAAAAGGTTGGTGAATTTATCAATAATAATTTTTTCGACGATCTCTCGATTTTACATCTATGTCAGAATGTTTAATAACACAAAATTCCACATCAATATTAAAAATAATACAATCACAAAGTCCATATCATTTTGTCTAAGAGTAATACTAAAATTCATACAATTACAATATCCACATCATATTTAAGATTAAAAAGCTACACACTTTTTTCATTTTTCAGCAATCACTCCTACATTCTACATGATATCATAATTATACAATTCAACAAAGATAAATTATCATAAAACAATAAATAGATGTACAAAGAATCAACACTGCAATGTCTTCTTCAATATGATTATCAAACATATGATAATTTTAATTATTTAAAAGGATGAGTGATCAGAAAAGCTTCAAATTCAAAAGTAAAATAAATCAAGACTAGACTATGATCACTAAATGCAAATCAAGGCTATTTGAATCTATCATTTAATTTAAACTTTTGCGCCATGCCAACCACCGTAACTTCCCAACAATCCTATTGAATGCTATCACATACGTAGTATGGAGGCTACGATAAGTACTTCACAACAAGAATTTGGACATCAAGTGGGCGGGCGACATGCCTTTTCCACGGTTCAATCTCAATATGTGACATCATTGGCTAATCACTTCGAGTCAAGAAAATAACGAAATGAATGTCAAGAAAATAAAATTGTCGAATGTCGTCGATTAATTGGCGAGCAACAGAAGCAGAACTACTTATTGATGATTACCACACAAAATGCCTAAAACAATATCTAAATCATGGATGAAGTCAATGGGATTAGACAGAGGAAGTTTTGAAGAACTAAAATGGCATTTCAAATGCAAATGCTGAACCAAAAAGTGAAGAGAATTGACTGAAAGTTCCATATGGCATCACAAATTCCTGCCAAAAAAAAAAAGGAAAAAAATAGAGAACATATGTGCCAAAGGATTCAGATGGATCGTTACAAATTGAGAGAACCCTGAAATAGTTAAACCGATAAGTATTCATAGGTCAATATATATATATATATATATATATATATATATATATATATATATATATGTAAGATAAGTACACTCATTATATTCTTATAAATCAATTTTAATCTTATTCATTTTCGATGTAAAACTAATCGAGGTGTTACGATATCATATGCTCGTGAGGTGATAAAAAGTGAAGAAGTTTAAATGTTAGCAATGAAAGTAAAAAAACATACTAAATAAATCTCAAGGTGATGATGAGCAAATTAGATAGTTCAATCGCCAGAGTCATAAATGTGTTTAGTGTTTAGGAGCTGACCTACATAATATTAATATTTGGAGATGATTCCAATATTAATTATTGCATGAAGAAAATGAAGCTCATGCAAACAAAAGTAGAGAGAAGCGGGTAAAAGAAGTGCCACTATAGAATAAACTCAGAAACCAAAACTAAACAGTTTGTAAGTTGCTTTGAACTGAAAACAACCATATAAATGTTGATGGCAAAATATCAGGACTGCATGTGACCTTCAGATGAAGATGAAGATGAAGTCATGTGAGAACAAGTTCATCTATCATTCACATTCTTAGTTTATCCTAAATCTACATAGAAATTACTCCAGTTGGCTAATAAAAATGTATTTGAACACACACACACACAGCTTATCATATTCCAGATTACGGAGTTGTTTATAGTTAGTAAACCTGCTGTTTTCATGTTGCTTATTAAATGACCAGACCTACAACCAAATGACATTATAGTAACTGCACCTCAAGATAGCTTATATGGAGATACATATGTAAGCATAAAATCTGTGATATAATATATGAAATATGAAAAAAAAAATATGTTCGAATTAAAATTAAATAATATTAGATCGATTTTTACAATGTATACCTTTTGATATCATCTGAAAGGGATCTCTATACGATCTAAGTATCATCTTTAGATTCAAAACCGTTATCAATTTGTAAAGAGAATTAGACTCTCCTTCTCCTTAGATTGTTGGTTTAAGGAGATTGAGTGAGAAACTATAATCTCTTAAACGCATCCTATATAAGATACGTTGTTTAACCTTTAGAAGTGAAAGCAAAAAGTCTATGATAGGTTATTAGAAGAGTTCCTCCTATCTCCTAAAGAATCATAATATCTATCATCAAAATCTAATTAGTTCTATTATATATCTTATTCAGTTATAAAAGATCATATAATCTAACAATAGAATTCTTCATAAAATGGCTTAAATAAGAGAAGATACTGTGACACATTTTTCGACATAAAATGATAAGTGAATGAAAAGAACAGCCGAAGATAATTTCAAGTATATATATATATATATATATATATATATAATTTTTGGATGTTTGAGAATCTAATTAAGACTACCATGTAGAGGGTAGAGAAGAAGCTTCTCAATAACTTACCGAAATCCCTATTCATGGCTTGTAAAAATCAACAGCACCATGGAATAAAAACTCGAGAACAAAGAAACTTAACATGCTATGAATTTATAGGAGAAGAGAGAATCTATCGCAATATAATTTATAGTGTAAAGGCAAAGAGTAACATGGCATGCCTACTAATGTGGTTGGTGATGGCCTCTTTTTCATCCCTTTTATCATCTTTTATTGAGCTTCACCAATCAGCAACGAACCATCATTCCACAGCTTCTCTCTCTCTCTCTCTCTCTCTCTCTCTCTCACAAGAAACGGAAATCAAGAAGACAGCTCCACGCACATATACAAACTCAGCGCACTCGTGTCGATTCCGACCGGGGAACGTACCTCGTGATTAGGGCAGTACTCGACGTGCTTGTTCCGATCGTGGGAGAGAGTACCGCGGTCATGGGCGAGGAGGGTGAGGGTGAGCTCGTTAGATGTGTCTTTGCTGTTGGAGCTGGGATGGTGATTCGGTTCCATTCGAGGTTAAAGTTTCGAGTTAGTCTTATTTTAGGTCACTATTTATATAGTGTCAAATTTATAAAATTAGGTTGGAGGCATTCTCGACAAATGTCTATATAAAAATCAAGTCAATTCTTATGTTCGTTCCGATCAGATTGATCAACTAATGCTGAAGTGAAATAGTCAATGTATAGAATGCATATCTTGAGATCCCTTTTATAATAAGTAGTTCGAGAACTATTACATCTTAGATTATTAGGTGTGAGAAGAGATCGTGAGATATTTTTAGTAAGAGTATGGTATGATGTTTGTCACTCCAGAAACCATATCATTTGATCGTACTTATCACGAGGTTGGATGATCGAGCATTTACGTGTTCTCGAATTCAATCGTCACTTGTTGGCCAAACATGATTGACAAGTGGCTAGGATGGTTTACTTGTCGGTCACATTTGAACTTACGTGTTTATTATGTCATCATTTCCCTATCATTAGAGTTGAACCGATTGGATTAGATCAAACGTAACAACTGACATGATCGTCAGAGGGGCATTTATCGAGAATGCCCTTGACTCAGGAACCCCTCGACCTAGTTTTACAAGTTTAATGTTTTACGAACAATGATTTGGAGTGAGATTGATTTCGAACGAATCTCGATTGGATTCGAATTATTATCCCAAGTCGAACAATCAGAATCTGCACTACGTATCTTGAGTTATATAATTTTCATATGTTATTTTTGATATTAAATGATATCAGTAAAAAAGTGATTAAATAACTTTTATTTTAAATTTTGATTATATGAATTGGAAGCTGATTTGGAGTTCCTTTCCATATTTGTTAGTCTCAGTTCTAATTTCAATCTTTATCCGACTCTAAAACTAAGTTGGGAGTGTACCCAACCAATAACCAATCAATGTTAATCAAATGCTAAGTTAGGTTAGGATTGGACTGTTCGGATGAGAAACACATCTCTCTTTTACAGCGGGCAATTATCGAGAGCGGTTATGCACTGCTCTCAAGCTTAACTGTAGTACGAGAAATAACTATGGTCGATTTAACTTAGCTATGATAGCGAGGTGTCGTAATGATAAGATGGTGACCAGATCATTATTCCTACGTCAATAATAAACCTATATTAATCATTATAAGGAACAGTAATGATGAGTATCTTAATTTTTTTTGGATGAACTTTAAAATCTATAATAAAATATTATATGTATATACATACAAACTCCCATTAAATAAATGTATGGTATGATGCACACACGACATATTATGGCATTAGCAAAAACAAAAATCATTCGATTACAACTTCGCTAAGATTTACCTTTTTATTGAAATAAATGGTGATAGGGACACACAAACTTTCTCGACAGAAGATAAAATGTATTATAATGTTAATCAAATGTGCATTAACAAGACAGAAGATAAAAGGTATTATAATGTCATATCATTATTCATTATTTGTGCATTGTGGGGTCTCCCAAATCTCGACACTCGCCACATTTATATGACTCTGATTTCACCCCATCATATCATATCCAATAAGTAACATTAATTCTAAAATGATAAAGTTGGAAGAAGAGTTCTTTTAAGTTTGATGGACCATCGTCTCTTCTATTACAAGTGACTATGATGATGCGTGTAATGAGATATTATGTTTCTTCGACATGTAATCGGTATCCAAAATTAATCGAGATCTAATTTTAAATTTATTTTAGGTTGAGGTATCGGGAACCGATGCTAAGATCATATAAAATGTATGTTTAAGGCGTGATCAATAATAACTTTTGATGATCTTTCGGTAATGTTTCAACGGACTTCCAGCAAGCTTCTAGACTTCACGATGATCTTCTTGAAGAGTTCCGATGAACTTCTTTAGACAATTCCTAGACTTCTCGATCAATTTCGATAAAACTTCCGTCGAACTCTTGAACTCTCAACAAAATCTCGATCTTGACTCTAGCTTTTCGTTTTGTTTTATGCTTTGATTGTTATCGTAGTTAATCATGCACACATATTTCAACATATAAATTTGATCAAATATTTTATTAATTAATTTTATTTTCAAGATATGAGATTCATCAGAAGAATCGGGAACCGATACTAGGATCATATAAAATCTTTGTGCAAGATGTGATCAATAATAACTTAAGCTAGTATGAGTTTTAAGAATTCAGTTAAATGATAAAGGTTAAGATAGCATTAATGCCAAAAACGATTAGAATCGTTGATGTTGTGATTATGAAATAACAATTTCGATTGAGTTAGTCACTCAATCAATAATGTGTGATCGATTCCATGAAGTCTTAGTTAGCATCCCTATCGATACCACATTATCGCCCTTAAGCATCCCTACCGATACCAGATTACCAACCTTATGGGTTTAAGTCATTCTTGACATGTCAGAATGAGCAGCTGTCCACATGTCATGTCTTTCATATCATTTAACGCATATAGAATTTGGTAAAATCATGAGTGCGTATTAGAAAAAACACATCATTTAAGAAATAATTTATGTTTTTTATTTTAATAAAAAGATCCATATAACTTATGGTTGTCAAAGTTTGATATATATTTCCTACTCTCATAATACTTAAAGTTTTTATAATTATTAGAAATCTCTTTTTTCAGGTCTCTCTTAACGCCATCTAATCTCCTGAAATTTTCACCCTTTTTATTTTATTTCATTGACTACTAAATTAAATATTTATGTGATGTGATATGAGTTTATTATATGGATGTGTACTATGCATAACCTAATATCTCATGCCTATTATTGGACGCCATTTTAAAGGGAGGAAAGAATTCTACTTCATAAGAATAGGATTCACAGTAGTGATTGGATTTGGATTTGCTACTTCAGCCAGTATTCCTATCTCTCTCTCTCTCTCTCTCTCTCTCTCTCTCTCTCTCTCTCTCTCTCTCCCTACGCTTTCAATCTAAAATCAAAATTTTATGTTCATGTTCAAATTTAAAAGGGAATGTTAATTCACATCTCATGCAAATTTTCTCCCAAATCTACTTGAATCCGACTATCACTAACTCTACTATCAGGGTTTTGATTCTACAAAATATGAACTCGGATCGGAACTAAATTGATTTTAATTTCAAATTGAAATCATCTATTTTTATTTTTTTAAAAAATACTCCTCAATTAGTCATTTATTGATCTTTTAGATTTTTTTATTCGATTTGAACGAAAGGTTTTGGTTCTTGATCGATTCGATCCCGATCCGAATCGAGTAGTGATCCGATATAACTAGCAATTTCTATTTTGATTTTTAAGATACTTTTCAACTAACCATTTATTGATCATTTGCAATTTTTTTTTGAATCGAAATCAAAGGTTTTGATTCTTGATCGATTCCATTCCAATTCGAATTAAAGAGTGATAGCAGATAAGATTTTCTCAAATTATACGAGAAAATTTTTTATTCTATTGAGAAAAATCCTCTAATCTGTTAAGAGAAATCGTATAATATGTTAACGAAAATCTTCTGTCATAATCTCTATAAATAGAAGAGAGACATATGAATATAATCAAGCTTCTTCACTTCTTTAATATCTTTAATAATTTTTTTATCTTTTATTATTATTTTTAGGATGAGGATTCCAACATAGATTTTTGGTGCAAGCATTTGTTTTTGTGATTCAAGCAAAAAACAAAAAAAGATTTGCGGGCAGAGGAAGAACTCAGCTGGCTTCATCATTAAACACATCAACCTCCATTTAAAGAAGGAAGAAATCGGCGGGCCTTTCATGATGTTGCTCCCAACAACAGCTGCACTCAACAACATGATGTGTAAAGCGATTCACACGGCTGTCTGTGCACAACACATATGAGCACGAAAACAATTAAAGAGATCACACAACAATATTACTAATATATTATTATTATTATTATTATTATTGTTTTTGTCACACTCACTAATTCCCGAATATATATATATATATATATATATTAATCCTATATTAATTTGGATCGTTGATTGGATTCGACTCGTAACTCATCAAACCTCCAACTTCTGGAGAGAGTTATATATCCCAAACGCAAGCGGAAAGCTGCGGACGTCCCTCCCGAGGTTGCACCGCAGCCCGTCAATGGACGGCAAAGATTCATCAATCAGCTAATGATCAACGATTGCGGCATCACATTTGGGTCCCGTCCGCTATTCAATACAATCGAGCCTCTAAAACCAACATAATTTTGTTTCATTTTGTTTTGTTGGGAGAAAAAGGCAACGGTCTTTTCGCTTCAGTCATCTCTCTCTCTCTCTCTCACAAACACATACTGTGACGCTCTCGCCTTCTCTCTCTGTGAGCTCAAATGGATCGTTGCTCGGCAGCTCTTTCCATAGTGCTCGCCCTGCTCTCGGCCTACACTTGGACAGGCGGCGATGCTGCCCCACCGTCCCCGTCGCCGACCGCCGCTCGCGGCTCCACGCTCGACCCCCGCCAGCTCACGGCGCTCCAGTCCATGGGGTTTCCCACCGTCGGCGACCCATGCGCCGCCCCCTCCCCCCGCGACAACGCCACCGCCTGCGACGACGATGCCCCCTTCCGTCACCTCGTCTCCCTCCGCCTCACCAACTGCTCCCCGGACCTCGACCTCACCACCACCGCTCTCTATGCCCTCTCCACCCTCCGCTCCCTCGCCTTCCTCCGCTGCCCCATCCCCGCCCCGAGGCACTTCCCGAGCGACCTCGTCGCCTCTCTTCGCTCCTTCTCCTGCGCCGCGTCCCTCCGCCGCCTTACCGGCGTCTGGCTCTCTCGCCTCCAGAACCTCACCGACCTCACCGTCATCGGCGTTCCCGTGGCCGCCAGCGGCCCTGCCATCATCCTCTCTCACATGCGCCACCTCCGTTCCGCCAGCATCGCCTCCACGAACCTCTCCGGCAGCGTCCCCCACCACTGGCACGCTCTCGACCTCGTCCACCTCAACCTTTCCTCCAACCACCTCAAGGGCCCCGTCCCGAGCTCCATCTCCGTGCTTGGCTCCCTCCAGACCCTCGACCTCAGCTCCAATGCGCTCACCGGAACCCTCCCCGACTCCATCGGCGACCTCGCCGCCCTCAAAAGCGCATCTTTCGCCCACAATTCGCTGTCCGGACCCATCCCCGTCTCAATGTCGCAGCTCACGCTGCTCGTCCACCTGGATCTGAGCTCGAATCAGTTCAACGGAAGCATTCCAAGGTCGCTATCCAAGTTGAAAGGCTTAAAGTTCCTGAACTTAGAGAACAACAACTTCCAGGGAGTGCTCCCCTTCGATGCGTCCTTCCTGCAAAAGCTCGAGGTCTTTAAGGTGGGCGGCAACAGCAACCTCTGCTACAACCACACTCTGCTTTCTCACAAGCTCAAGCTCGGCATCGCCCCCTGCGACAAGTACGGGTTGCCAGTGTCGCCGCCCCCGGACCGCTCCACTCGGGCGGACACGTCTGACTACTCCGACAACGGCGGCGGCGACGACGTAGTTGCAGATAGAAAGAGCAGCGGCGGAGGCCACCACGGGCCGAGCAAGCTTGTGCTTGGGGTGGCCATTGGGCTGTCCTGCTTTGTTTTCTTGGTCATCTTCCTCGTCTGCCTCTCCAAGCTATGCGGCTGAAAGCACAAGAACGTCGATCTCGGGTGCAAACTTTCCTCGTTATTTACGAGTCTTTTCAATCTAATTCACCGAAGGTCGAAAAAGAAGATGTCTTTGTCGATGGTGAGAGTTTTGGAAGGAGATGTTAGCTGGAGCACATGTTTGCCACATAGATTTGTTTCCTGTTTGCAGATTCGTTGCACTTCCTGAGTTAATGAGGCGAACTGCTGGAGTTGTCCTTTCCAGTGTTTATCACTACATTTTGGTGCTTGCAACTATTTATAACAATTTCCTTTCTTCCTCCTTGTTGTTCAACATGGGTTGTATGTGTGTCAGTGACATGGGTTCCTACATGATGCTGCACTCATTTATTTGCTCTGCCTTCCAAACTGAAGCTGCCGTTGGACACAAAAGGATGATTTCTTGTGGCCATATGCTTCCTGCGAGTACATGTATGCTTCCGAACACTGATAGGATTCAGATTCATGGAATCGATTACATGATCGGTGTGTCGTTACTTGCCTGCCTGCACTATGTTTTCCTGCTCCGCTGCCACTGTTTATGACTACGAGAAAGTGGACGGGGAACGAGGGGGGTCTCTCAAGGTGCCTTCTTTTGGGCCAAAAAAAGATGTGTCGGGCAGAGGCAAAAAAGAATGGATTTTTAATGTGTCGTGCTTGATTCGAGATATCAACTCAGTAAAGATGAACTTTAATCATCAAGTCCTCTGTTCGACATTAAACTAAAATTTCCTTTTGGTTTTGAAATGACATTCTCAAACCTTGATCCTTACGCATAATGATACGAATCCAAAGTAGGTAGATTCTGAACAAACAAAACAAAATTTATACACCGTAACACAATAGAATTCAAGAAGAGGAGGCAGTCTCCATAAGTCTTCTTCTTTATACCTCATCCTCGATAGTGTATGTGTTCGAGAAGAGGCATGTTTTTTTGTGAGGTTGCAGGTGGCGAAGACTAGCAGTCGATGGAAGTGCAGGTTGCGGACTTGGTGCCATCCGTGTCGTTTATAAACGGATCGATCTTGACCCACAAAAGTGAGAAAACGGAAGCCAGTAGCACTGACCACAGCACCACGATGGTCGGTGTCCGGTTCTGCCTTCCCATGAGACCTTTGAGGAAGGGATACAGATGGAGTATCACCCACAGCGCAAAGAACACTTTCCCAAAGAGCGGGCCCCAAGCTTCGTACCCGCTGTTGAGTGCGTCCGAAAACCCAGCAACTACGCCGACAAAGTTGACGACTAGGATCGTGGTCGGAGGTATCAACACAGTCGTCCACTTGAACACGTAGAGCTCCCCGAAGTCGGCATCGTCGGTGGCTTTGGCGGTCACGGTGAAGTTGGTGTCGATGCCCGCCAGCATCTTTAGAAATCCTTGGAAAACAGCAAAGAGATGTGCCGAGACGCCTCCGATCACCCAGAACTGCTCGTTTCGCCACCAGTCCTCGATGCCCACACCACTCCACCGCAGCTCGAGAACGCTGGTCAGGATGATGGAGATGAATAGACCAAGAAACCACACACTTGCAATGTTGGAAAGCTGAATGGAAAAAGGGAGAAGACAAACTGTTAGTATCATCGTCTTCAAAATATGTGAAATTGAAGGTAAAAAAAAAAAAAATAAAATAAAATGAAGGGTGCATTACCGTAGGAATGATGAACTTTCCGGTAAGCAGACAGATGGCCGGTAAAGAGCAGTAAGCGATGAGTGGAAGCGATGTAAATGGATAGATAATGGTGTTTATATAAGCCAATCTTTGAAGCCATTTAAGACGGCCACCTCCGTATCCGTACCAAAGGGGGCAATGCCGGCTAAGGAAGATCTCGACGGAGCCGAGAGCCCAACGAAGAACCTGATGCAAACGATCGGAGAGGTTGATAGGGGCAGATCCTTTGAAAGCGGGCCTTGTAGGCATGCAATAGATTGACCTCCAGCCACGGCAGTGCATCTTGAACCCTGTTAGAATATCTTCTGTGACGGATCCATATATCCACCCAATCTGCTCAAACATAGGTTATAAGAATGTCATTTACCAACATTCAAATATAAAGCCGCGCGTATATAATATATAAAATCAGTCTATATTTATATGGATGATTTATGAAATCGAATTTTATTTGATTCAACTAAAAGAATGTTAAATATAAACTGCAAGATTTTTTGGTCGGTATGTTGTTGCCTCCACCCAATCTGAACTCCACACACATACTACATGCTTCAAGTAGGAGGATCTGGTTTACAAGATTGGTTCACCTAAATGCTCCTTAAAATAAACCTACATGAATCCTCCTACCATGGGACTTATGACAATATTAAGAGAATCTGCCTGTCTTTAGGTTATTCATTTTGATTTGGTACATAAACAAATAAATCTTTCGGAATTTAAAAAAAAATTTTAAAAATGCAGCAAAAAAGAGAATAATGCAAAAAAAAAAAAAAAACTCACCTCCTTTCCCCATTCTGTTTTCTCCTCGTATCCGCAGCTAATGACATGAATTGCTTCTTGGATCAAAGTCGACGGATTTGCAGATTCGGGCACCCCTCCATTCTCCATTAGCGTGGATTCAATGAAAACTGAAGACTGCCCAAAGGTCTTCTCAAAGCTCATTTGGGAGATCAACAAGGACCTTTCATATTCATCGTAATCTGCATGCATGAAGTAGCCATAGACCATATAATGAAGAGGAGAAAAAGGTCCAACTTTTCAACACAACCGCAGTACAATGCACTTACTCTCGATTTCTCTTAGGTTAAATATGGCAGAATTGAGGTCTTCACGCCTAGCGTCTCGATAAATATCATTCTGATTCTCTGAAGCTTTCTTGGAACGACGGCAACAACAGCAGCATGAAGAACAAAATGAAGACTTGGGTAAAACTGGCAAAGATAGTGGCCCGTACCCATATAGTGCTTGCCTATTGAAAACACAACCAGTTCCCACATAAACTGGTCCTTGGATTCCATCAAGCCCTTTCATGTTTACCTATATATATATATATATATATATATATATATATATATAAAGCTTCATCAGAGACTAAAATCACTGGCAATCGCTAATAGTAGGGTTCTATTTTTTAATGCTTACATCAAAGAAGACAATATTTCTATTTGCATATCGATCACTCCGATCTATACCATCAAATCTCTGAGGGGAATTGAATATAACAAACATCTCTACAAACTTGTGGATCCATCATGAAACACATTGCTTCACGGACTGCTTTGCTGTTGTTGACATAGTGATCACAATCAAGATTAAGAATATAGGGAGCATTTGTAAGGATTGCAGAGACCCGAACCTGTAAGATTTGAGTATTTGGTGAAAATGACATCAAAGTGTAAACAAATTGTTGTTAATTAATTGATAAAGTAGTCTACCAGAGCATTCATAGCCCCAGCTTTTTTATGATGCTGATATCCAGGTCTCTTCTCTCTTGAAACATAAACTAGCCGAGGAAGTTCATTTCCTTCTATGTCATGAGCACCACTACGTCCAAGGAAAACCTGTCAATAGTATGTAGACAGATCGAAAATCGAATACTTTAGCAACTTTCTGAACTTTATACAATAACTAACATCATAATCTAATAAAATTATGAAGAACTGCACCCTAGTAGCTAACCGACGGATGATTTCTTCGAACCTACCATGATACAAAGAGGTTATATACAACAACAAGGTCGTAAACAAAATAAGTAATGTCCCATCATCTGGAACTTCTCAAAACATTAAAAAAAAGTAGATAATTAAGTATTGAATCACCATTAGAACCTATTGACTAGCTTTAAAACAGTATCAAAACCGGTCGTGAATATATCGAGTATATCCTGAGTAGTGGTATAACAAACAGGTGAAGATCTGATACATCTAGTCAAAGTAAATATGACAAAGAAAAGGACATGCTCTGGATGTAATCAGCAAAGCCTCCTATGATTTTTCCCAAGAACCTCTGAGGGAAAACTATAAACACATGCATAGATGTCAATAAGATAATCAACACTCATCCATTTTGATGTCCAATGTTAAGTAATTTCATCAAAAGAAAGTGACAAACCTGAATCATGCCGGGGTGGTCACGTGGATTGTTTCCTGGCCATGGTGTTCCATCTTGCATGATCCAGCCTTCTTCAGGTGTTTTTTGAGCCTTGGCAACTAAAGCATTTATCCTCACTTTATACTCTTCATAGTCTCTCTGGAAGAATAAAATCATTAGTTCGCCATTTCATTCCTCTAAATTGTTGTGTTTTATCTTCTATATAATTTAAAGCCTTCAACAAGAACATTCATCAAATTTGATAGATTGCAAAAAATCTCCAAGAATTCTCTTAGCACTCCACAGAATACTTACCTTCATTGCTCTCCGCTCCTTGACAAAAGATGGCTGTATTTTATCTTTCAAATAATCAATCCTCTGAGAAAAATAGAACTCAGGTGCTCGTGGTTCGATTGAATGCTTCTTACAGAATGGGACCCACTTTCTAGCAAACTCCGCAGTTTCAGCCAGAGATTCGAAAGTGAGCATGGCTGATCCATCATCAGATACATAGCAAGAAACTTTATCAACAGGATAGTCTACAGAGAGAATTGAAAGCACAGTGTTGCCAGTAATCAATGGTGGTTCTTTTAGTGGATCAACAGTACTGACAAAAAAGTCTACAGCAGCCAGCTGAGAGTCTTCACCTTCCCTTTCATATCTGGAAATTGGATATTGAAGTCAACTTTTCTAGTGTTTATATAATAGCTTGTTATTCTTATCTTCTATTTAGATCCACTACTTTGTCGAATGGTAAACAGAAAAATTTGAAGTTCAAAATTCTGTAACTAATACAAGCAACAGAACCTGACATAAAATTCAGTTACAAAGAAAGAAATAAATAGTTAAAACATATGGAGAAAATGACAACAAATGCTATTTTGGATTAGAAAAAAAAGGGAAGAGTTCTATATACACTAGAAAAAATATATATCTTACTGAATTCACGCAACAATGATAATGAAAAATATTTTCCTGCAAAAAATCTGTGTCAAGGTCATCATGTTTTATTCGTGAAGATATTGTTATCAAAGGATTTTGGCCAGTATCGCTTCTACAAATTCTAGAATTTACTTCTCACATGATCTTTAAAAGGTTGTCCTGCCAGAACATATAGGAGAATGTATGACAATTTGCAACATATGTAACCCATTACATAAAACATACCTTGCAGATAGCCTGTTGATGTATGTCTCTCTATTGATAGGCGACCACTTGGGAAATTGATCCAATACCCAAGAGACCGCAAACCATATCTCGCATATAACTGATGTTAGCCACAGACCATAAGCGCTATTAACGGGATTGGTTATCCTATAATTGAAGAAAAGCCCAAGAACTATCAATCTCATAATGATCACAGCTCTATATGGAGTCAGCTTATTAGGTGATATCGGAATGATTCTTGAAAGTGGCTGTCCAGCTTCTAGAGGTCTGCACATGACCAAATCAGAGTGAACAATATTGTTATTCCAAACCAGGAAGAGAAATACATGAAATGTAGGCTACAAACATGTCAAGGAACTCTGATTTGTCATGAAATGTAGGCTACCGTCATGTACCTTTTAACTAGTCATTAAGAAGTTTACAACCAGCAAGGAACTCCAGTATATCCAATACTGGAAAATATGTTCCTAAGCTCTATTCATGAAATTTAACTTTCTTTAAGAAAATCTTGTCCTTACTCTGAATTTTCCATCTGCTGTTCTACTGGAATTTGAGCTTTCTCAGACTTCTTTGGAGCTTTCTTCTTCTTCTTTTTCTCCATCCAACTGTCCACTCTGTTCTTCCATAATGGATTCCCAGATTCACCATTTGTCTCTGAAGAAGGAGAAGATCAACAAGAAAGAAAGCACATGGGTTAAGTGAAATGAGTGAGAGTGCAGCAGAATTGAACTGCTATGCAAAACTGAACTATCAACCCTAAACATAACAATTTAAGAGAAAAATACCACTTTCAACAATGGAGAGACTACTCAAGCTTCTAACATGGCCTCCATTTTCCTGTGACAATTACAAAATACAGAAGCGTCTGGTAAATTATGTAATTACATTGAAGTCGACAACCAAGATAACTCAATAATGTCTTTAAGTTTCAGCCAATAAAATCCAAAACGATGTCGAACACATGGAATAACATATCAATTGGAAACGAAGAAAAACCTACCTGATGATCATGGAGATAGGCTGCAGTTCTCAATCTGACACCCGAATCCCCGTGATCGGTGCTCTCCTGACTCACCTTTTCTGCAATGTTTATGTAACTCCATGAATCAATGTTGATCAAATTTGTCTACCTTAGTTCCTAAGGAAAAATATTAAACCGCTAAATGAAAGAGAAGCAATCGATCACTCCTTTCACCACGCTCGCTAAAGCAACATTCCACCTATTTACATGAAATATTCTAAAGGAACAAGCACAGGGAAACAGCGAGAAAGCGAACCCGTCACGTTGCGAACGTAGGGCTCCCCACAGTGAAGGCAGCTATCACGCCCCTTCCTGATCTCGTCCTCGAGGCAGGCGGCGCAGAGGGGGTAGTTGCAATTATTGCAAGCCACAAAGACCTCCTCCTCCTCCTCCTTGGCCGAGGACGAGAAGCCCACGGGCTCACCGCAGGCGCCGCAGAGGGGAACTCCGGACTCCGTCATCTTCCCCTACTCCTCGGCTCAAGCAGACTCCTCCTCCGCCGCCGCCGAAGTGGTGGGCGATTCTCGAGGAGAGGGGTCGTTTTAAGAGGGGTGGACAGGGAGAGGGGTTGGGGCGTCGGCATCGGCATCGGCAGGTGGAAGGAAAGAATGGAAGCAAAGATTGCTTTCGTGGTGTTGGGTGGTCGATTCGCTCTGAGATCGTCTTCGATTTCTCCTCTGCTTTGGGGTGTGGAGATGATGGAAGACGGGGGTTGCTGCGTTCTGAAGGGAGAACGGTGTCCGTCTCCAACCGCAAGAGGGGAGTCGTTACGACGTCCGGGTGGGTGGGTCCGGTCCGGTTTGGTTCGACTCTGGTGAGGCCAAACCCGAGTCGGCAAAACGTTGATAGCGGGTCGGATTTGTTTCGTTTAGTCCGATACATAGTATCCGTTAATCAGTCTCTGATGGATATAAATGATAGACTGAGATACTTATATAGTTAATATTGGTTTGGGTTCATATGAGATGAAATTGATTTGTGTCCCATCCGTTACCATCTTCCCGGAGAAGGCACCTCAACCATATTCCATATTGGACGACTTCTCCGACTTTGACATAATAATCTAACAAGGTTAATTATTATATATAATAAAATTAATTATTATGTATACATGTGATAAGGTCATTTGATCCCAAAGAAATATAAAAAGTCTTCTTTATCCTCAAAAACGTCTTTGGTAGCTCGATAAGATATTTCGGATAATTCTTCGCGAGCAAATGGATGAAATTATTTAATTTATTATTTAAAAAAATAATTTTTTTTTTAATTTATGATGTTTTGCGAGAAAAATCAAATTAAATTAAATAATAGGTTTTTTTTCGAAAATTATTCGTGCAATATAATTATATAAAACACGTCATATAGATAAGTGAAAAATACGTCCACAAGCAAAGTTACAGTTGCGAGACGGCATGGAATTGAGGAGTCCGCCACGGTGAGGCTCTCTGCGGCCACGCGACATGTTCGACCGGGGCGTCCGACGACGTCTCGTTGGATGCGTGCCGCCCCGGGCCAAAGCGGAGCTGGTGGCGCAGGCTTCGCCATGTAAGCGTGCATCAACATTTCAACGGCGGGTACCATCGACCTTGACCCACCCACTCCGGAGTTCTTGATGATTCCTCTGACCCCTGACAAGAACCTCGCTCATTCGTCCCCACCCGCAATCTTTCTCCACCTCAATAAATCTATTTTTATCCCAATCTGTTTCTTGATTTCTTTTTATTCTGTGATCCTTTCATTATAAACCAAAGCCATCGAGATCGAAATTTCTGGGCCTCACGAACGCCTGAAGACCGGTGTGGTAGAACGCGAGAAGCAAAAAAAAAAGATCGGACTTTTCTGAGAGAGGCGGCGGAGGAAAGAAGAAACGAAGTAAGTTCGGCCGTCGAGAGAAGGATGGCCCAGGTGCTCGCGCCGGTGCGCACGGGCTTGCTCTTCGAGTTCCCCAAGATGTCGTCGACGGCTCATGGAATCCGGCGGCAGGGCGTAGCGGCCGCCGACCGTTCGAGTACCGACCGCTATCGTCGGCGGGGGAGGAGGAACTTCAGGATCGCTGCGGCGGTGGCGGAGAAGGGTTTCTCCTCGCAGGACGATGTCGCCGAGGATTTCTACGCTGTTCTTGGGCTGGTAAAACTAAACACGTCTGTGCATTCTCTTTTCTTGGGTTTTGGTTGGTAGAGGATGGTTGGCACCTTTGTTTTAATTGGTTGAATATGGTTCATGATTCTGGCAACAGTATCATGATGGATTTTTTTCTTTTGTTTTTGATTAATCCTCTCGTTTTGTTTCGACCGAAAGTCTTGACAAATAGTGGCATTCTTAGCTCTTGAAGACATATTACTAACTGTGCTACTAAACCAGTACTGGGGAAAGATGGAAGTATTTGGTGATTAATGGTCAAAAAGTAATAAACGAAGCAGATCAAGAGCCAAGATCAAGGATTATTATGTTAAAACTCCCTTGCCTAGCAGGAGCAAATCACCCCTCAAATGTTAGTCTGATGTGTGTGACATCTGCCATGGATGCTGGCTCAGATGCCACATCACCTCTGAAGAAGATGAAATGCCATAGTGATTTGTGGGTGGAAAAGTCAGCAATGTGGAATTAGCATGCATCTCTAACGAATCCCTGCAAAATTTAAGGGATGATGCACCCCTTCTATGATCATTTTGCTATGCTAAATCTGGCAAGCGGAGCACGCACGTTTCATGTGAAGAAAAATGGGGTATTTTGGTGGGCCAATCACCCCTGTAAAAGTTTTAGGGGGTTATGTGGTCTGTCACAGACCTGATCTTGAAGGGTGCAAGGGGTTAAGACCCAGCTCATTACATGCGGCATTTAGTTCATGTTTTTTTTTTTTCACACTCGGGTTCTTTGGAAGAGATGGATATAGTTGATGTTAAATAGTCAAGTATGTTCATTTTTTTCTTAATTTTTTTGGGTTTGCAAAGAAGCTTCAATAACTGTTGCAAGCAAGAAATTAGAATTCTTAAGATACAAACAAATGAAATTCAAGGCTTCAAGTTGCCCTTGTGGCTAAATTAAATATGTGTATAACTTGTAATTTTATCCGACGATCAAACTAATCAATGGATTCTTATGATTAGAATAATAGGTGAGCTCATGCCTCTACATATTTTGGTCCTGACATGTTTTATGTTTACCAGCTTCCGGATGCCACTCCTCAGCAGATAAAGAAAGCTTACTATAATTGCATGAAAGCATGCCATCCAGACTTGAGTGGGAATGATCCAGACATCAATAACTTTTGTATGTTCATCAATGAAGTCTATGCGGTGGGACCTTCAAATTGAAACTTGAAGTAACAGTAGTTCTAAATATCTCTTTTCTGAAATTATATATTTAATACACTAACATGATCTGTACTTCCAGGTACTCAGTGATCCTATTCAGCGTATGATATATGATGAGATTCATGGATATGCAGCAACTGCTATCAATCCTTTCTTTGATGATAGTGCTTCAAAAGATCATGCTTTTGTTGATGAGTTTAGTTGCATAGGTATGTGGAATTGCTACAAACAGAGTTTGTAAGGAAATGTTTGTCTTATCATTTAACTTCTTAGTATATTGATGATGATGATGAAATATGGATTGTCATCATCGAATGGGGTTTTCTCAAGACACGTGCTTCTTTTTTGTGTTTCCAGTGACATAGACTAGGTTTGACTGGCTATATATCTCTCTGGTAAATTATCACACACTAACGACAGTCTGCCTTCAACTAGCGCTTATCCATGACATTTTTATTATCTTGCACAAGCAGGGTGCAAAAATTGCGCTAATGTGGCCCCAGATGTGTTTCGGATCGAGGAAGAGTATGGGCGAGCAAGGGTTTTCAGCCAATCAGGGAATCCTGACTTAGTTCAACAAGCAATTGAAAGTTGGTGAGATATGAAAAGATTAAAAGATGAAACATGGCATAATTGCTCTTAAACAGTCATCAGCTAGAGCACTATCATAAATTAAGAACTTTTTCTGATGTACTAATAGAAACTTCATCTGAATAAATTCAGTGGACTTTTTTGATGAACTGTGACACTATGGATCTCTTACCTGTTTCTATTGTATTGCATGTTCATTTGTTAACTTAATTATATTTTTTAATTATTACAATATCATTGACTTGGATTGTCAATTTATTTCAGCCCAGTTGATTGCATTCACCGGACATCTGCTGCACAGCTATCGCTCCTTGAAGATGAAATGCGAAGGGTGGAGAGAGTGAATGTAAGATGAAGCTACTAAACTTCCTCGTCTCAAATCAATGGTCATTTGTTAGAAATGTTTCTCTCTCACAACATGTGGCGAAATCTTTTTAGTCTAACATATTGCTCGAGTTCTCACTATGTATTTTCTGATTGTTAAGTTCATATCCAAGTGAGCTGGGTTGTATGTTTTAGTCATGCAGCTCTATTTTAAAGGAAACTTGGTGGATGAAAGCATTACTAACATGGAGATGTGGTTACAAATTAAAACCTAAACTGCTTTAAAATAAGGCTTAGTTCTGTAAGGTTTAATGAAATTATTCTCTTTTTTTTTCCTTTTATACATGACTAAAAAGGAAAAATAAAATAGAAAGTAGTAGGTTGACACGTCAAGTTAAAGATAATAACATAAACCTCAAATCTAACTCATTTTCTAATTCAGTTAGTTGTGTCAACCACTTTACAACCTGGTCCTAATTTAAACCCGCCACTTTACAACCCGGGCCTAATTTAAAACTGCTAACATTGAGATAGGTTGCCTACCTTGACCTCCCCCATTCTTAAGTTGGGTTGATGTATTGGTCCAAGAATTGCCATCCTTTGATATAATTTCAACGAGAGCATTCCTCCTTACAAATTCTTAATGTTCTGCTATATTTGGAGATTTTTTCACAAGATATGAATCGCAACTTATGCTCTTCTTTTTTGTAGTTTAGATTTTCAGACTTCAGATCTGCTTAAGTTTTGGTGTTTTAAGTGTTAAGATTTTCTTTATAACCCTTTTTGGTTTTTTAAAGGTTAAGCCTTTGGCGCCACATCAGATTTCAACTCACAAAAAGAGTCTCATTATTTGTGTGGGGAAAATTTCTGTATATTTACCTTTCTCATACCTTCTGTCAGTGAGAGCCTTGGGTCACTAGGCCTCTCTTTTCCTAACCTTTTTGGACTCCATTTGTATTAATTTCATGAAAAATTCCAAGAAATGAGGAAAGTATTATTTTTTGTCTTTAAGCATGATACATCGGAGTTGCTTAATAATTAAGGTACTCTTGTTTGCAGCCCATCATTTCTTGTGGTAGCTTCTCTCTCTCATTTATATTTACCATGAGAAATGGAAGCATTTGAAGTAAATACCTAAGCTGATGTTGTTCTGTATGGTTCATTTGCCAAAATGACTATAGAAATATATATGATCCATATTGCAACTGACCTTTAGTAGAGCCTTGATATATGAACAGTAACATCATCCAGAAGTTGTGCTTATACGATTATATTTTTCAGAATTGACTCTTATGGTGACGATGTGGTTCTGATTTGGGCAGGTTGGGCTAATGCTTTCTGGAATGGGGAGCTCATCCCTTGACGTGTTCAGAATGGTAACAAAGATTTGCATTTATTCCTCAGCCTTATGCTATATGAGTACTTTATATCAGACTGTTTTTCTAATTTGATTAATCTGTTACTATTACAAAAAAGGCATTGTTTGGTTCTCTGTATCAATTTTCAAAATTATTTTTGAAAACAACAGCAATGATAGCAACAAGTTGCAGACCCTGATTATTTAGTCTCGGACAAGCTCCAAAACCATGTTGAGAATCTAGCATGCATTACTTGTCTCTATCATGTATTCAATATCTTATATATTCAGATAATAAAGCTATGGTCAGTCAGTTGTGGCATTGTGGTATGGGACTTGAACGCACAAGGTTCCCATGTGAGTCTCGTATAATTCAGTACATGATCGACACATCAACATGCTCAGATAAGCAAAAAGAACATGCACAGTGCCCATTCTTTAACTGCAACTGTTAGATACCCATCTGAGTTTAAATATGATGAACAATTCATTGTCAGTTAGCACTCTAAATACATGTGTATTGAGTTCCCTAACTTTTCCTTTATAATAATTTGTTAAATATTACCTTATAAATCCCTTCTACCCTAGTATTCTGACACTGACACTTATTTTGGATGTGGGCAGGCATGTTCAAGATGGGAAAAGCGCCAAGCAAAAGTCTTGGTAAGGTTATCGGTTCCTAAATTATTGTCTTTGACTCTTTGTAGTACCAAAGGGATGTTAAATTCAAATCCCATGGCTTGTATATCTATCCTTATTCTTTGACATGTGTCATCTTAATTCTTCTCAGAGATTGTTTGTTTTCATTGATTTTCTTCTTGGATAGCTTGTGAATTGGAATGTGTAGAATTTGCAGCATCTTGAAATGTATTTCCCTTAGATGATATGCTTTTATAGAGATGTGTCCAGTATCTGATTTCATGAGGACAGTGAGAGGTAGCGCTGGTAAGTTTGTTTATCACTAGGAAGGTTTAATTGGTTGTAGGTGGCATTTAAACTTTTCAAACTAAAGAGGCAAGACCTTGTGCCTTCTCTAATTTTTCAGGAATGTGTTTGTTACTTTTCCTTCCATGTGTACAACAGGAGGTGCATATAGTTGTTTATAATGGATGCCTCCCTTGTATAGAAACATGGACTTTTTTTTTTCAGAAGATGGCAGTTTCAGTTCTTTATGCCTATCACCTTTAATAAATTTGTTTTTGGGTTAGTCACTATGGTCTAAACCTCAAAATCTAAGTATGCATTGTGCCATTGTTAAATCCAATAACATTTTATTGAATGTACTAATAAGGCCGCATTCTTTAGGTTTTTTTTGATAAAAATGTTTTTCAATGATTTTTTTTTTCGGATCAATCTCCAAACTGATTTCTCAACTAATTTTGTCCTGTGACATTTTTTATGACAGATCCCAGAGGTCTTTGTTGACACCCAGAAAATTTATGATATTGATAATGAACAGTTATACAATAAATTCTTGGACCTTTTAGAGAGACTTTTAGATGGTGCTAGGACCTCCCTTGTCATTTTCTCTTTGTTACCAATGATTCGGACAACCAATAGTTGAACTTTCTCAACTTTTCTAGTAATCCTAGTTAACTGGGTGTGATTCCAGGACAATTGTCTATTTATTACTCTGCAAAGTTGAAAATTAACTATTAGATGTTGCATATATGCTACTCACCATCTGGATAACCTTTTATTACTATGATTTTTATAATTTGAAAGCAAAGGGTATCCGTGTGATATCTTTCCCATACTACTAGCAGTTTTCATTGATGTCTCTTGTAACATCCAGGAAAGGGCTAAGATACGAATGATGAAGCAGAAGGATTCTGATAAGAGTGGGTCCTGGAGCAACATTTGGGGGGCACCCAAGAATTATGAAACTACAGGTATTGTTCATGACAAATATAAAGAAAACAAATTGTACTTAAATACATTTGGATTCATTACTACCTGTTTCCTTTTGTTATGTTTTGATCGTGTTGATTGTTTAGTATCAAGATTTGTGTTCACTTGTTATTTAAACTTCCAATGTGTGCCCACTTGTTACTTAACTTTCAACATAAAGGCGGGTTTCAAGTCTTGGTTGCTTGAGTCAATATTGTTCTAGGATCCAGGACCATCTCAAAGTCTCAATATCTCATAATATAGTTGATAAATTTCATGCAGTAGACTCCAGGAACTTCAAACGCATCAAGGCTGTCAATCCATTTGTTGCATTTGATCATGACCAGTCACATCCCTGTTTCCAAGTCCTCAGAAAGCAGCATGTCCATTGCAATGATTACTTTGTGAAAGTTTGTTTTACATCTTGAAGCTTTGTGCTTCAACGATGAACATAGTTTTCTTTTTTTGTGTAGATAGGTGCAGGTATGACTTTTCTCTCATTCAGGGCAAAGATATCACCCACAAAAGCTACTTTTCTTACTGATTGTAAATTGTTCTATTCATATTAATTGCTCTAAAAAACCATCTTAGGCACTCAGTTTAAGTTTTGCCATCAAAGATTACTGATTTATGTGTGCAGATGGTGTAGTCAGATAGTCTACATGGATTTCTACTTTTGTTTTTCACATTCCACTAGCTTAAAGATGCCAACGTCTCAATTATCATCTGTTTCTTGCCAGTGTAGATTTATCCTGTGGTATACATGCAGCTTGCAGTTTATGATTTCCTAAACTTCTCTGTCATAAAGTTTGCGGATAGAAATTTTCTCTTTAGTTGCATCTTCAAGTAAGCAGATTGCAATATAATAGACTGGACTAAAATCCCTGCACTCGGAGATCTCAAATACCTTGGCTGATATCTTTGCTCTCATCAGTCTTTTTTTGTTCTTTTCGTATTCTCACTGTTTCGGAGAAGGCAACCAAGTAGCTAGCTAATTGGGCTGCAACTAGAGGTAGATTTAGATTTAGATAGAATGGAGGTTTTTTGGAAGGAGATATTTCCTTCGGATTTGGAAAATTATTTTGTACGCTGACCTTTCGACGTTATGTTTAAAGATCTAACATATCTTTCTTTTCTGGATAAAAAAATCCCTGTAATCGGTATCTTTCATTTATTGGACTTGGGAGAGGGCCAATCGGATAATGGTAATAACATATTGCAAATTAAACTTGCATAAGTTATTTAAAGATGACAACAATATCTATGTCTGCTCATGCAAAACTTGTTTGCACAAAAAAATTTTCTTTTCTTCAAAAGTTGCCATGTCTTTTAATTTCAGCTGGGTTTAGCATCCATGTTATTTGAGAGAGTGGAACCTAAATTTGGTAGCCATGAAACTGCTCGTACTGTATGGTTGACTTATCATCCGCTGCTTTGACAGAGGAAGAAGTGAAGGAGAGGGCTAAGAGAGCTGCTGCTGCGGCTAGAAGGTGGAGAGAGTACTCAAGAAGGGGAGCTGATAGACCTCCCACAAACAAACTTCCTGAGGCAATCTCTTCCAAAGAACAGTAGAAGCATGTGGTTCCTTCTGCTGCTGCGTGATCTATAGGCATGTGGTGAGAGACCCTCCATCGAATCATTGCCTCTCCCTTGTTATTCAAATATGTAAATCCTTTTACCTATTCTACATGCCATTTCTTGAATGCCACCAGTGGATGGATCATTATTCCACCTCTAACTTGTGTCATATGTACTTTACAGATTTTATACAAGGAAATATTATAGGTCAAATACATATTTACTGATCTCAAGTTGGAATGAGGTGTAGTGTTTATCTATCCTTATGATCAAGTATCATTGTTTTTGGTATCGAACAGTTTTAGTGATCTAATCGAATCGGTACACTACTGTATGTTGACAAGGTATTGGTTTATCGATATACAGTACATCGGAAAGAGAAAGGAGGGGGGAGTGGAGAAGAGAAGACAGTGGACAAAGAGGAGAAAGAAAAGTCGAAGAGCGATGACAAACAATAATGCAAGGTGAGATGCGCTTGCATTTGGGCAAAGAGGGATCGCGTTTAATAGATTTAGGCGGGCTTTGTTTTAATAGATTGGAGTGGATCGTTCAAATCTAGGATAGTCCATATATTGGTTCACATCTGGATCGATATGTATCGTTCATTTCATATCAATCTGTTTGTAACAACTATTTATTGGTTCACGTCTAGATTGATATATATCGCTCGTTTCATATCAATCCAGACATAACAACGATTTATGATGCGTTTTGAAATAGTTTCATGCACTCAAGGCATGATTCAGAAAAGAAAAGGAAATCACTTCACAGATGATGCCCATAAGTAATTGGCTGGTCAAGTTGAGATGGCTTGCGTTGCATTCATACCCTACTTAAGTACGGAGCCCAAAAAGCAGCAGAAAGGGAAGACACCACATATTTAGAGCCACTACGACTGCCATAAAAGCTTTAGGATATATGCCGCATATACCTTCGATCGGAATAAAGCATTATATGCTCAGATATAAAAGCTTCTTTCTTCCATGAACATAAGCAGGAAGACACCACATGTTCTCGTTCAGTAAAACTCACTGCAGCATAGTCGAAATGCAACACGAGATTTTGCCACCTTCGATAGGAACACTCAACTCTGTGTTGTTGATCATAGTAAATCCATTCATGATCCAAACCCATAGTATCTCTCTCAAGGCAATCATCTTCCAAGACAACTTGCAATTATACCTAATCTACTATGTATTGCATGAGAATGAAAGAAACTGTTCCACAAATTGAGCTTTTGAGGTCAAGCTTCTGCATGTCGATGTGCCTTCGAGGCTTAAAAGGCGGTGGTCGACGCAGATGGCTTGCTGGGAACAGCATCAAAAGATAAGATTTAGGAATCGATCCTGCACACCAACAATATCCAAGGCACAACATCTGGTCCCCCCCTGGCTGCAGTGAAAAAGGAAAGAAAGGTGATTTCTTTTAGCAGAGATTCCTGCACCAACATAAGCTCCACTTCCGTATGACTTAGACCGTAACACAAACTATTCCTCTGAACTATATATCAGGTGTTAATTGAGGAGTGGTAAGAGACTGAGGAGCAGTGGACCCATTCAGAAGAAGAGCAAAGAGGAAAGGGCAGATGGAAGGCAGCTCCTCCGGCATACTTCCCATCTTCCAGGCATATCCATAGCCACATCCGACCGTGTTGGCCTTGTCTGAAAGACGGCTATATAAATGCACCTCCCCAGCAGGTGCTGATCTCATCAAGCCACACCCGAGAGTGGAAGGTGCAGGGAGGAAGGAACCTGTGAGGGCTCAAGAATCACAGTGCAGGCCTCCTCGGGCAGGAAAGCTTAGGCATGGAGATGGCTACATGCTTCTGCTGTGCTTGCCAAAGGAGACTTTGCCCTGCCATTCGCCTCCACACTTCACCTGGTGCATCCAAGAAAATGTAAAACAGGCTATTACTGCTGTAACATCTCTCTCTCTCTCTCTCTCTCACTCTCTCTCTCTCTCTATACATACATACATGTACATTTCATGTATACAAAGTAACCGTATATCAGTTAAAGAAAAAACGGCACCACATTATCAAAAGAAAAGGGAACTCATAAATCCCACAGCTATAAGAGAACACAAATTGTTGTTTGCTTCTTTGGTGCATATTAATTTAGGCCTTACTGTCAACAATTGGAATATTCAAGTGTGGTTGTAGATTTCAGTTACAAACATTAAGATACCAAAACATCAGTCTACTCAGATCTAGAATTGCTGATTTCAAAATAAAAGGATACTCAAATATTAAAATATTCTAAATCATGCATTATAAAAGAAAAGCGCTGAAAAAAACAACAATAATACCTAAGTTGAACAGCACCCAAGTTTCTTCGAAGCATCATCTTTCACATTTATTCTCTCACCTCTACCAGGAATAGAAGATGTTGCATCGTCACCCGCCTCGACTGCTCGCTTGCTGACAATACGGTAAATCTGAGTCAAGACCTCTGCAAATGCATTCTCCACATTTGTTGCATCCAGTGCAGATGTTTCCATAAAATATAAAGATTCTCTCTCAGCATAAGCCTTGCCGTCTTCAGTAGGAACAGCAACAAGGTGACGGAGGTCTGATTTATTCCCGATGAGCATGACGACTATGTTAGGATCTGTGTGGTCCCTCAACTCCCTCAGCCAACGAGAAACATTCTCAAATGTAGCACGTCTAGTGACATCATACACGAGCAATGCACCTACCGCTCCCCGATAATAAGCACTTGTTATGGCACGGTACCTGCATTTGTAGATCAGATCAAGTAATAAACATAATGAAACATGCATTCAGCCAGAATTGTACTAGTTAACACTCGGATATCGTTTTCAGCTTGTGCCAGATCAGAAGAATTTAAGTGCCAAGAAATTATTCTCAGCTTATATTATAAATACATCTAGAACATTTTTACATGTCAATATTTACCACAGTTGTCAATGATGATAAATTACATGTTCCTGTATCCGTATAACTTCTGTGCAATTTTTAGTATATAAAGATGTAACTATTGCCAAACATAATGGAACATAAATTTGTCCACCACAAGAAAATAAATTTGTCAAATTCTCATGTCTGAATATTTCAGATTATGCTCATACTGAACTCCGATGCAAATCATTATTGAAACAAAATTCAACTAAGAGATGAAGTTATGATTAGGCTTATCATGAATTGAACAACTGGATCTACTTAAATGACCTGCACATATCACAAATGAAGTTAAATGACGCGTATGCTAACAAGGAAGATATTTGACTCCTTAAGTGACCATTTCATGATTCAGAAGCAAGTTTTCTCAGATGGCAAAATATAGTAATCATTTTACATTATCCTATAATTGTGATAAAGATCAACTGCAATCATGAACAAAAGAAACTTGCTTGAGGATGCAACATTCTGCAAAGTGCTAGAATATGGAAGCATACAACTGCTAGCTGTGCGCATGTTAAATATGTACTCCCCAGAACATGCTACAGAGAGAGGCCTATTGGTAATAGAAAGTTGGCAATGAGAAAATCAACCCATTTAATCATAGTCCATGAATTTAGAAAAGACCAAACTAGAATTTAGCATATCCTGACACAGCTAGAAGAAACATATGAGTCTAAAATGAGGCTAAGGTGACACACGCTAGACATAAGACAAAGAAGAGTTCAATGCTTTAAATCAGGCACAAAGGTTAAAGTACATTGCTTGATATCAGAAACTTTATCCTTGAAAAAAAAATACACACACACGTGTGTGTGTGTGTATATATATATGTGTGTGTGTGTGTGTGTGTGTGTGTGTTATATACATATATATATATATTATATATATATATACATATATATATATGTATATATGTATATACAACATACAAGAAATTCCATCAATCATGAACTTCACTGAAGTGGACATGGAGACAAATATAACCAGGCAACTCATTCATGATTTAGAGATAAAAATGCTCCCACCTTTGTCACATTATAAACTTGAGGGAGTATGCAATTGGAAGGATATGACTAATTGTGTAGAAAGCATACTAGATGCCGCAAATGTTATATACAACATATTTGAAGAACGTTAATCACTAACTGAGGTTTCCTCATATCTGATCACACTTAACCTATTTATCTTTAAATATTTTTCATACTGTTTAATTCATTGTGTATTGTAGGTTTATTCCAAATCCTCCTCTATCTCCCACCACCTGTAATCAACGAACCTCTTTATCACTTCCTTTCTCCCACTCTGGAAGCCTGACATTAGCTTCCTGTAAGCCACTTCGGAGAAAGATGCTATTAGATACAAAGAAGAGATTGATTAGTACTATTCAATTGGTTTGCAATTTTGATCCTCCTCCAATCCAGGATTCCCAATGGAAGATGTCCTATCTTCTTAATAAGAGCTATTACAAGAAGTCAAAACTCATATAAACACCAAACTTTATCTTTTGGTATAAGAAGCACTACACTAGCAATCTTGACAATGTAAGTTCAAAGGGAACCAATGAAATGCTTAATCCTCTCAAACTATTTCTTTTCTATAATTCTTTGAAGAGGAGCTGGAATTATTATCCTTGTTCAATTAACTAAGGAGCAGCTTATAAGCAATGCTGATTAGCATCCAGTAAGATATACAAGCACTAAACAAGCCCTTCATTTATAAGCAATGCTGATTAGCATGTCTGGATAAAACGTATGAGTAGGCATGATTGACATGGCTTAATATCAGCTACAATTTTCGTTTCCACAAGTTGACCTAATAAAAATGAATGACTTGTCAAGCCACATCAACGTGTTGGCATGTACGTCCCAATAAAATAAACATGTCCATTGTGAAGGCACTCCAAGGCATGCTTCACTGATGCATGAACTGTTCCCCTTCATAAACAAGGTCTAATATGTCCAACCCAAGGGTCAGTGCTGCTAGTCCAGTGCAGTAGCACTTTCCTATTCCTCTGCTAATAATCTGTCCTTGGCTCAGAAGAAACAACATTGAAAATCATCTACCAGTGACAATGTAACCCAACAACAACAACATTCCTTTTCACCCCACACCTACATGCTGCCTCACATCAGGCTACCACATGTAGGCAAGTGGTCCTAAACAAAATAATGCCACCATGCCATTATATGGCTTTATAACACCAAACAAGCCCTAACCAATCAGACCACCATGAGCCATGGTACAATTAGCTCAACCTAACAATGATTTTTGACCCACTATGTTGGTTTGGTCTCCTTTTTGCTGCTCACAACCTCTCCTTGGCCCACAACATGCTGATTTTTGTAATCGTAGCCTATCCACAACCCACAAATGCTACTAACAATTCAATAGCATCTGAGTTCCTTCTCTTGACAATTTTTCCTAATCAAGATGTTTATTTCGGTAATGTATAATTATTGAAAACATTATGCAAACAAATGTCCTGTTTTGTTGCCCATACGTTTATTAACTGCTTGACTGTCAAACACAAGAAATTTTTATCATAAAAAAAAAATGAATAAGAAAAAAGAAGATCTTGATCTTTATCAAACAACATAATTGTTAAGAAATCAAATAACTTGAACTCGGTCCACAATAGGCTAAACGACTTCCAAATTCGACTCTAATCAATTAAAATCTACTTTAGTTCACATGGAATACATCACCTATGGAGGCGTTCATCTTAAATCCAATTACCTAAGCAAACCCCTTCCATGATCCAAGAAACAAATCACTACGACAAAAGGAACGCTGAACTACAAGAAGAAGGGAGGGAAGACAACAAAAACCTTTCTTGGCCGGCAGTGTCCCAAATCTGGGCCTTGAGGACCTTGCCGTCGACGGAGATGCTGCGGGTGGCGAACTCGACGCCGATGGTGGACTTGGACTCGAGGTTGAACTCGTTCTTGGTGAAGCGGGAGAGGAGGTTGGACTTGCCCACCCCGGAGTCCCCGATCAGCACCAGCTTGAACAGGTAGTCGTAGTCGTCCTCCGCTCGGTACGCTGCCATCTGTTCCCTTTTTCTTGATCCTCCTCTCTCCCGCACTCTTCTCTTGTCCAAGAGCAAGCTCGCACGCGCCACAAGAAATCGCTACCACCGAGCTCCTCTGTTATCTCTATGCTCTTGCCTTCGGACTATTAGCTGATGCAGATTCGGGAGGAGGCGGATTCGAGAAGTGTCGAGGAGGGGAAGGAGGGGGAAAGCAGTACACCCAAAGGAAAGCGTGTGGTTATAATGGTGACCAGGGAAGTGGAGGTGGAAGTATTAAGACCAGTTTTCTGATTAGTATAACGTTACCCACTCGTTTACCTTCATTACGATTAGTCTCCCACCGGCCCCGCGAGTGGGGTCCATATTTGCCTGCCTCCCTTGGCTTAAAGTGTAGGTGGAATTATTAAAGACCAGTTTTCTGATTAGTTTAAAGTTCCCCACTCGATTACCTTCATTCCGATTAGTCTTCCACCGGCCCCGCGAGTGGGGTCCCGTATCTGCCTCCCTTGGTTCTTTGACAAGCCGGATGCATCATGAGACTCCCGTGTCGATCTCTGCCGTGGGTCCCACAGGATGGGTCTGTGATTAACCGAGTGGGTAATTAAAGAAGGAACGGTAAGAGGAATTAATGGGTGGGTTTGTGATTAATTTGTTTTCGCTATTTTATTATTTTTAAGTTTATATATTGGTATTAAATGATACATCAAAAAAGGACTTTTTAGCAACACGTATATTCCACCGATCAGAGAACTTTATTGGTGTGAAGAATCTACGATTAATTCTATGGTTGGTCAATTTTACATCGAGAAAAATCTTCGTCAGCTGAGTACAAAACAAATACTATGGTCCAAGACAATGCTAGCCATCAGGATAACTCTCATATGAGGATGAAACTGAATAAAGGTTTTTTCTGGAAAATAAAATAAAATGAATGGAATAAATACTGTCATAGTGGATCGCAGTGGAGTTAACACGTAGCATCCTACACCAATTTAACTCATCATAGAATACATGCCATGTGGTGCCCCGGTGGACGACAAAAGTACCGCATCGATGCCATGACAGTGTCTCCTTCTCAAGATTTTGGATAGGCACAAAGCTGGATGAACGTGTACGCATCGTAAGGATGACATGGATGTCATATCAATAGCACCCATCAAAATTTGGGATGGGACACCCAAGTTGGATGAGTCCGTCCCCCGACATCCATGCGGATGACATGGTAAGGATCACATGGAGACCACATCAACTGTGATTCTTATGTCACATCAATGCCACGCCAAATGACAACCTTTCAAATTACTTTTTATTATTGATGGATAGCCAGACAAACGATACAATTTACAGGAGTCACGTACCAGTGGCAACCGTTAAATGGAGTCTCTTGGAGAAGTGCTCAAAGTTCAGGTGGCGTCCCTGCATTTTATACAATCTACAGAATTCAGCTTGAAAGAATATATTTTCGTTCTGTCAGTTGTTAAACAAATGTACAAAGCTTCCTAAGATTGAGCAATGGAACATGCAGAAGAGGGAGGAAAAACCTAGAGCACATGTAAGCAACCTGCGTGACTTGCAATCCATTAATCATTTTCTTTGGTGATCCAGTGCACAGGCATCTTCCACATATGATGATGAGCTTCGACAGAGATCCAAGTTTCCTTCCAATTTTTCGGTTTAAGAGCTGCAAAGATATGTGAACAACCTCCAATTTTCAGGCATTTAATTGAGACAAGAAAAGATCTATAGAACAGGGAGGAAAATCCTACAGTATATGTGAAGGAACAACCTGAGTGACTTGCCATCTGACAAGAATTTATTTCGGCGATGCGGTATGCAGGCATCTTCCACATATGATTAGCTTCGACAGAGATTGCGGTTTCCTTCTAATTTTCATGTTTAAGCACTGCAAAGAAGCCATTTAAGTAGGAACCCATATGAATTTTCTGAAAAGGAACCCTTATATGTAGCTGAACTAGAGGAGGAAAACAACATTACCATGCTTCGTGTCCTTTATTTTTTATGCCTCTTTTTCATATGAGCAAACACAGTTGTATGAGTTAAAAATCATATATAATTTCTTTCGTACTAAACAAAATTAATCTTTGGTATAAGCACTGCATATAAGGTAACCAACAAAGGCACACGTTCTATACATTGATGTATATAAATACACACACACACACACACACACACACACACACACACACACATATATATATATATATATATATATATATATTACAGAATGCATAAACTAAAATGCCAAAGGTAAAGTTCATGGATGTATTTAAGTATACATATAAAATAGAAAGACAAAAGTATAAACAAAATAATTACATCAACAAAGCTCACAATTTATGACACTAACAGTAAAGTCGAAATATTCTGACAATTCCTGATAGAGCATTGAGTTGGTGTCTTCACCACAGATGCAAAACATAAATAGTATGATTACCTTGGCTCGAGTTGTCCTATGAACTTTCCAGCAAAACAAGCTTCTTGATCTAGGCTCCAGTCTACTGTAAGATTTAGGAAATTACAAAATGCACTGTCCAGCTAGATTGAGAAAATAAACAATAATTATGCTTACGTGCACGTTGTGAAAAATGACAAGTATCATGGGTAACTTTCTAAGTATACCGGATTAACCAAGGCAATTTTGTCAAGTAAATCTCCGGCATTAGAAATTCAATGTCAAATGAGACTAGATTCCACGAAAGAGATTGTATTGCTAAATAACCATATCAGTTATCCAACAAAAGGTGCAGTATGTATCCGTAATTTCATTCATGTAGGTTTTTTGCATGCTTGCTTTGTGTATGATCAGATTGTCAATTATGTTCTTTCCCAAATCTTCACTCTTATTGATCAGCCATGCCAAAAAGAAGCAACAATTCTTTTGTTTATGTTAGTGCGATTACAAGATTGCAACCAACCTTTCCCATTTAGGATCGATCAGATGAACTTCAGACTTGATGAGCATTTATATATCTGGCATCCTATTTCAATAATCAGAAATACTTTATTGCAGTAACCATTTAAGAGATTTATTTTGCTGCACATCAATTTAAATTACAAAAAACCCTCTTTGTGGCTATAGTTAGTTAAGAAGATCAGAAGATATACGATCCAAGTGAACTGGTAGTTTGCGTTATGTAAATGCAGGATTCATATTTCTGTTCTCATGTTCAAAAGCTATGCAGATTATAAGTGACAAGCTACTAGGCATTTGAGACCAAGCTACAATAAAAACTTAGGTTGATGCTTATATATGTTTTTCTTTTGCACTAGACTATGAAATAGGAACAGATCAATAGAAGGACTATGAACAAAAATTGCTTGTGTTACTCACAAGTTCTCCTGCTCAAGCTTCTCAGCTACTGACATGGCTTTGCATCTAGACCACCCACCTTCTGCCTGTTGAATGACATGCGCAAGAGATACTTGGCCGCTAACTAAGTTTTTTCTTTGATTTTGTTCATTGTCCTTCCTTTCTGACAAAGAAACCAAATTACTGTGGTGACATGAAGCTGATGCTTCTTCCCATACATTTTCAAATCCCTTTTCCATTGATCCTACAGTCTTATTTGTTAGCCGAAGTTCATGAGGTCCTGCTTCAACAATTTCATCTTCTGTCATCACAGGGGGACCAGGGTGCAGCCATCTAGCTTGACCAGAGCAAATCCTTCCAAGAATATTTTCTTCTATAAGCTTCCCTGCAAGATTTTCAGAGACTGAATTAAGTGAATTTTTATTCTTTACATATTGCTGCTTTACTGTCATCTTAGAAGAACCACTCTCGGAACTAGGCAAAAGGGGAGCAGCTGGGGCATCTAGTCTGACAGTGTTCCTGGATCTACAGCTGATTTCAAGCATTACCGGTGAAGCAAGTACAGATTCAAATGCTTGCAAAAGCTGCCCTCTGAACTTCTCAGCTCTATATTTATTTGCATTTGAGCTGAACGCCATCTGGACAGTAGGAGCTACAGTGGATAATAAACAATAACATCAGTCATCTAAATTACTGGCCTAAGCACAAAATTCAAACATTTTTTCTTCTGGTATAAACCTAAGATTACAAAAAACTTCAAAATTATAATGGTAGACAGGTATTCAACTCCACCTTTAGACCTTTGTATCATACCATATTTCTCAGACCATCAATGTTTTGCACTGCTAAACCTTTTTTACAGTACTCTCCACCAACAGATAAAGCATTGCTAACCAACTCAAACATTTGAAACGGAATCAAAACTCATAAAACCACGGACATGCAGAGTTTGTCTGAGATAATACCCTAAATGACGAAACAGAATATTAAAATAGCAATGAAATATTAAGTTTAGGATCAAGCACTTGTTGGTTATATAGGTCTTACTCAGACGTTGGTGTTCTTTAATGCAAACAATCTTTATCATAAGAATCACAGTAGACAGCAGATATTACCAACATAATCAAGGTCAACAGATCTATATCCGTCCATGATCTCAAATACATACCTTACCAAACAATTTGTGTAATGATGGTTATCCAAACTTAATCCCTCTAGATCAGCCAGATCAATTTAATTGGGCTCATTCGGTCCCATAAATCATCTATGATCGGGTCAAATTCAGGTCAAGCATTTGAATCAAAGCAAGTGTCAACCCAACCAGACAAGAAGTAAACTAATTTCTTTCTGACAAAAAAATGTAAATGCACCTCAAACAACCAACTAGATTGAACCAACTTGTTTTGATGAACTCAACCAGCACATGGTTGTTCGGCATTGGATCACAGAACCATAATGCATTAACGAGGCTGGTTAGGTTGGTTTGCTTTGGCCCAGAGCCAGTCTAACTTGTATGGTTGGGCTGGTTCCCAAGACTTTCTCTCCTTACCATCTCTCCTCCTTATGTGTATATATCCAGATGATTTGTTGTCTAAAAATTCCCGATTATTTTCCATTTTCTCCATGAGGGGGTTCTTCATGAACATAAACAAGTATCAATAAAGTAAAAGGGTAACAGGTGCTAAAATACGAAGCTATTCTAATTAACAGCATGATGAATTCAACGGACCTGTATTTAAGCCACTCCATAATAATGATGTGAACCTACAACTCATCATTTTCAGTATCATATTTTATATTTTACATATCAAATTAGTAATTTCCTATTGAAATTCATATCGTATAACTATACCAACTGGTCAAAATATTAAATGTGAAATTTACCCCTCAAATGAAATCCTAGCTTTGCCCTTCACCATGTTTAATTGTTTTCAAAGATACCAAGCAAATATTTGTTTCTTAGCATATTGAAAATGGACTTTAAGAACTTACCGGCACCTAAGCTAACTGACTTTAGACTCCCTTCATTATACAAAAACCATCTTAATGTATCTGATGGGATATGTTTTAGTACTGCTTGCCATATCTTCTCAATGTTATCATATCTCTTGCCAGTGTTGTGTAGGTCACTTGCTTCAATAGCTTCACTGGGCTTCGCTGGCCCCCTCCCATTGGCCATTGTAACACTATGACTTAACTCATTACCACTTATATTGTTGTTGTACCCTTGACCAACACCTCTTGAAAAGCTCCTGTCCAGAAGTTGCATGTCATCCAGCTTGTTGGTAGAGCCTCCATGTATATCTATGACGTGAGAGTTATTCAGAAGCATTGGACTGTGATCGAGACTTCTGTCCGTGGATGAACTAGGTAGCATATATTGCTGATCTGGAGCAAGTTGAAGAAGAGCAGCTGTCAGCCAAGTCAGTTTGTCACTCGATGCCCTCAACTGTTTTTCAGTTTCAGAGAGGGTCCTGAGAGCTTTGCGTAATCTCTCCATATCTTCCTTGGACACTGAAACAAACAAATTAAACACTATCATAGAGTTAAAATATTTTTAGAGAAAACCCAATTGAAAAATTTCTGCAAAAACTCTCAATCAAGCACAAGTAGACCAGAACTAGGCGGTCAACATGAGAAGCATACTCAGCTGACCATGTACAAGAATCAACTCTTGACAGAGTGACAACCAGTTGGTGGTTGCCAATTTCCTTTGTTAGGTTACATTACTCGAGAAGTGAAGACTGAGCACATTGTTGTTTTACTCACAAGTTTGCCGACGGAAAAATTTTCTGCATAGTCTATCTTGTGTAAAGACATAGCTACCAGCAAGAATATCAGTAATTATGGTTGCAAGCTGTGTCATTAATGCCAGAGGATCAACCCCCGTCTCCATAATCTCTCTTAAGCTCTTCACAGTGTTAACAGTGTCTGCAGATAATGACAAATCAAGCAGATCCACCAGTTTTTCATCAGAAACCAAACCAACCTGGATAAGTAGCACATAAATGTCAATATTTCACCAAGCAGATGATGTATTAATTTCTTCACAGTGCCAAATGCCTCGTTCACTGCTTAGATTTCAAAATTCACCAAAACTCCATGTCCACATAAGTTGTATGTGGTAAGTTATAATGTTTTGCTTGCTTTAGTTAAGCAACAAAAAAGAAAATATTTCTTAATCACTCATAAAGTTTCATGGGAAACCCTCTGAGGCTTGCAAATTAGAATTGTGTGGTCATCCTTCATAGATAATGTTAGACAGAAATCTGTACTGGACATGAAAAGTCAAACTTAAAAAGGAACTTCCAACACTAAAAAAAAAGAGACAGCAATTAGATTAAGCTGCATAATGGAGCACTTTGATCTCATGCTTCAAGACATTGGTCTAATGTTGCCGGCTATATGAATAAAACATCCTCTTACAATTTAAAAGATCATATTTGGACTCAGTCATTTTGAGCAACCAGTAATTGCAAACAAAATCATCCTATGAGTTTTTTTTTCCTTATATGTCAATAAACTGATTAAAGGACAAGGTTCTCTTTTATAATTTGCATTGCCACAAAATGTTTGCAAGATCATATGATTGCTTCCTACAATGTTCAATTTCATCAAATCTAGAACTAGGCATGCTAAACATGCACATCTTCTCTTGAAATGCATGAAAATTTCGAGAGTTACAGAACCACTAGTATACAAAAGAAAGTGCTGAGAACTACCAGGTGATGTAGGCATTGAGATGGTAGAATGACAGAAAACTTACTAGCTCCTGGACAAGTGGAAGAGAAATTTTCTTCCCAAGCAAACTGATTTGATCAAGGGTCATCTCAGCATCTCTTAAGGAACCATCTGATCGTGATGCTATAAGTTTTAAAGCATCCTTGTCAATTTCTAATCCTTCACTGGTTGCGATCCATTGCAAAGTAGAGATGATATCAGAGTCTCTCACTTTTGGGAAAAAGAACTTTTGGCACCTGGATATGATAATATGAGGCAAAGAGTCAAGATTTGAACAGATAAGGACAAAAATCACATGCCGTGGTGATCGATCAATGACCTTTGAAATGGTACTCCATAAATTTGAAGGCAAGCCATCACAATCATCTAGAATGAACACTCTGTACATTGACGATCGTGGTAACAACATCATATTATCAAAGGCATCTTTAATGCTCTCAAAATCAAAGTTGCCAACTGGTCCCAGTTCTAGCACATCTCTGCTCCTACCCAGATCATTTGAAATGCAGGAACTACAAACACCACAAGGTTTAAAATCCTCCTCAGACAAGCAATTTAAGGCTCTAGCAAATACACGAGCACAAGATGTCTTCCCCGTCCCATGAGGTCCATGAAAGACATAAATCAACCCAACTTTTCTTCTCATAATGGCATTTGAAAGAGCTTGAACAACCAGGTTCTGTCCCACAAGATCTTTGAAGGTTTTTGGCATGTATTTTTGCGTCAGACTTCTGTGTCTGCCATGAGCAAACAGTCTATATCTCTTCTGGCTTGATCTTGCATCAGATGAAAGGTCAGAGTCTGTATAATGCCTCAAGCTGTGATTAGAGAAGATTTCCAGTTCTCCTGAATAACCCTTTGAAGGGAGACAATTAGCACCATTACCCTGAAATTCCAGCACCTCGGTCAGTAACGGTAGCACTTCAGAATCTGAACTTGTTGGAGTCAGATGATCCAATGCAGTGGCCATATTCGAAGTATTTCCTTCCCTTTGTGGAACAAGGCCTTCAGCTTTTTTTGTTCTAAAATCAGATAGCCCACAGGACAAACTCCGCCCAGCTATATCAAGAAATGTCTTCCCTTGCTGATGAATCCTTGACCAATTCCACGGAATTCCACATACATTTCTCTGAGTCCATGCGGCCTTGAGTTCAGTATCTTCTTCAACATTCTCCAGATGAGCTTTCTGATTCTTGGAAGCTACGGCTACTGAGTCTGAAGCATTGGTCAGATTTCGGTAATCACCAATACCTCTCAAATCAATAGATCTACAAGCCCGCCTTGCTCCTTTCAGCCTGCACTTCTTCCCTCTGTTTGACCGGCGATAATGATCACAAGTGTTTTCTTCTACCGCATTGTTGGTTCTCCTTTTACTCTCATGTCTACCATGCTGAAATAAGCCAGATTTCTTTTTGTTAAAATCGTCTGTCTGACCTGGAACTTCTTCTAATTGCTCCGAAAGTGTCTTAGGGCACACAGCCTGTCCATCAGCACTCTTGTTGGGCTCCCTTTTCCTTTGTCCCACCACTTTCTTGTGTGTGTCCTTCGAAGAGACTTGGTTGCCAGACAAACTATCACTCTTGTGACTTCTTATCCCGGCTTCTTCCACTTTGGTAATCTCTGCATCCCTATCTATTTCCTCAAATACATAATCACCAGTTGCTTCCGCGGCAGTGACTTTTGCTGTGGCAACACTTCTAACGAGTGGCAAACTTACAGACAACCGACCAGCCTCCCTCCGGCAATTGTCTCCTATGGATATCCACCTGCCATTGGTAGTAGCCTTCCTTTCAGATTTCCTAGCAAAGCCACCCACATTGTAAGGGGAGGCCCACGAGGGAGGGCTGGCGGAGGGGTCTCTCAGTGACCTCGACTTCTGAAGGACAATGAGATCCCTCATGAGGGACCTCCTGGCAATGTTGGGGCTGCGGCGGTGCATATAGTTCTTCAAATGAATGCAGTTAGTCAGATGCACATGGTGACAAAGATGATGGCTGATGGCGATGTACTGCCCCTTGAAATGGTTGCCAATGTTACCACTAGTGTCGTCTTTGAAGGAAATGCTATGGATGGCTGGCCTTGGTCATGATCAGAAACTACAGACATCAATAAAAGTTTCAGAGCCTCCAACTTCCCGTTCTTTATGCCGAAAAGGGAAATTCCAAAGCATAATGTGCATCTGATTTCGACCATCTAAAACCTTGGACCGTAGAACAAACCAATGCTAATATGAACGTCCTGTTTCAGCGCAAGATATGGCACACATTTCATCCCTGATATCTGGGTAAACAAAAAGGTACCCTTCAACCTTAACGAGGTCAAAATTAACCTAAAAAGAAACCTTCTTTAATCATACGGCTAATTGTTCGATGGATTCCGCTAACAAAAAAGCACAAGCAGGAACAAAGGAAAAACTCACCCGGAGATGCATGGCAGTCGTTGCCCTAGGAACAGTTCAAACTGTCAGAAGAAAGAGAACACCGGGAGCGGAGCAAATCGAGGCCGTCGGTCACCTCCATTCCCGAATCACGGCCACTTAGAATTAACCCTAGAAACCCCTACTTCTAGCAACCTCCCAAGATCCAGAAGCGGAACAGCCGGAACACCTGAATCGACGGAATGATCCGACTACGAAGCCGATCCAACTCCATCCCCGCATTCCTCACGGGAAGCCCGCGCCGGGTGCTTCCGACGAAGCAACGGGGCGGGCAGAGTGAGAGAAAGCGTAAAAGGAACCGTTGCGCCCGTGCCCGTTGGCTTCGTCCGTGGGCGGGCGGTGTCTGCCTTCGCCTCCCAAAGCGACGAGAGTGGCAGTACAGAATGATGCGGACAGCATCGTATTTTTCAGGCAGTATACGTATATATATATCTTTGATCGTAAAAGAGGACAACTACGAAGCTTGGACGGCTGGGATTAGACGTTGATGGATGGATAGTCTTTTTTGAGGGATGTGATGCGATGATGATGATGACATAGTAACGATTTATTTGAAAACATTATATATATTCTCGTGTAGCCATCTCTTTATTGCATCTGGAAATCTGACCCCATTTGATCTGAAGATGGTGGTGTAAGCATAAAAAATAAAAAATTATGATTATATTATTATTATCTAAAAATTTTAATATTAAAAATAAAAATCAAATAATGATAGATCAAATTTATAATAAATTTATTTCGATGCTTATCTTAATCTATATATATATATCATATAAATAGTAAAGTTATAGCATTATATTCATATTATTCTTTTTTTTATTCTTCATAAGATTATTCAGTGACTATAAAAAATTTAATGTACAATGACGCCAAATATTATGTTAACTCTCTCCAAACTCTCATTAGTATAAACCTTAAGCACTGAATTCTCTTTTTTAAGGTCACTGAGCAGTTTCAAGTATGTAGGCAATTTGTTTTGGCAGGTGGAGATTGTGACTTCCATGGAATGAAGAACCTAATGCTCTTTGAACACTAACTGGGAGCTCATATTCCACCCTTTAGGACCAATCAAATGCCATGAGAAGGTCCATTGTCTTACAACAGCAGCAAAGTCACCGTCTTCCCCCAAAAACGTTTTGCATGCAGAAAACAATGTTCCATGATAAGAGTCATGCTAATTTGTCTCTGAAGCAATGGGGGGTTGCAGGTCCACCTGCTTCCTTTGGTGCCAACAGTTGCTTGCCTTATGCTTTGGGTAAAGTGGCTGAGGTGGATACAACTCGATTGAGCTCAGAACATTTAACTCAGATCCCTATCATGGAATCAGAGCAAGTCATGAGCTCAAAACTCAAACTCCTTTCATTATCTCCCTGCAGCAGTCGTCACATGGCGTCTGTGTAAGAGTGGTTATATATACTGTTCAAAGATGAAAGGTGGAGTCACGGAGGCAAACTTCATCTTCGCCGATGAAGTGAAAGAGAGCGAACCAATAAAAGTTAGCAGGACACCTTTGGATTCTTCAACTGCCACATCTCAGTACTGTGGAAGAGAATAGAGAGAGAGAGAGAGAGAGATAGAGGGAGAGACGACGCTTCTTTTCTGCAGCAGGTGGAGATGACAGCACTCATACTCGGCCAATGGAGGACTTCACATTGGCCAACATCTCAGAAATCAACGAAGCAAACACTGTTGAATCCACTACAACAACAGCAAGAAGAAACAATTATCATCGCGTTTGGGCAGAAAAGATGTGAAACTTCTGTAATCAAAAAACTTCCTCCACAATTGAACATGAATGACAAGCCATTTATGTGTACAAATAAAAGAGATCGAATGAAAATTTACCCTTTAGTTAAATAAATCCTGTGTGTTCCGTGATATTCATCTTGGTTAACATGTCAAATCATCGGATTTTGTTCTACCGCAAGAGTTCCATGTCAAAAAAAAATTGAGACAAACAGTAATTATCCACTTCCTAGACTGGTTTCCACTCGATCCAGCAGCAGAACTTCCCCTGGAGGTTTTGACGGCATCGCTCAGCAGCTTACTTCATTGCTGATCGACGTATGAACATGCTCGGGAGGATCGCTATCAAGCAGTCTGATCAAACCTAATATGCTGTCCGCTTGCATAAGATCTCTTTCGCAGAGCAGAGAGCTGTTCAAGCTTTACTTTTACCGTGCCAATGGAATATGAGGAAACCAATCAGAAGAATGCTGTCATTGGGAGTAATCACTTTTGGTCTCAGCGGATGGCATAGGTTCCAGTATTTCCTCAGGAGAAGATAAGGATGGCTCGGAGGCATCTGCAAGTGCTCTGAGCATGTTTATGACGTCAGTTGTGTCGTCCAGATAATACCTCGCCTTACTTGGTTTCTGCCCGACGGTGCAACCAAATATTGATGTGTGAGGAGCTACCAGTTTCTTTGTCACTACACCAGCAATGTCTTCAAACATGTCCTCATCCGACCTGTCATCGCCAACGCACAGTACAAAATCAGCTTGTCTACCATTCTCCACCATGGAGGACAGAATCTTCTCTGCCACTAAACCTTTGGTGACTCCCTGCCGAAGCAACAATGACAAAATGTGATGCATGAATAAAACACAAACATCAAGCAGACAAGATATGCAGGATGATGAATTTTCAGAATGGCTCGGCACACGTCCTAAGGTCAAAACAGCCAAAGAGACCAGACACAAACAGTAGTATATCTACAACCACATGCCACCAGAGATACAATACTGTGGATGCTTGTGATGCTCCTACTTTGGTGCAAACTGTTCGTTTAAGATGGTATGGCACAGAGCATGATACATCTGAGATTGATGATGTCTGGGAAGGCAATACAACATAGAAATGCATACCTGAGGTTTGACTTCAATGATAAACTGGCCACTCTTCACTGAGACTGGTTCATTTGCAAGCACGCTTTCTAGATGATCGAGCATTTCCTTTGCCTGAGCAGAACCAAAGCCAGGGTCTGCGTCCTGATGGTGCCAAACTAAGGCACTTTCTTTGGTTTCAACCGAAGATCCATCAGTGGACTCTGTATATAGTTTCATGACTGGCTCAGCAATCTGCATCCATCCAAAATCAGTGTTCTGGCAATGGGTTTCCCATTCTTTGTCCCTACTCCACCTGCAAATATTGAAACAAAACAAGAACATATTAAGCATCCCCCATTGAACATGTTTCTTCTTCCTCTCATTCAACCATAGATCCACAAGCAACAGCAAGCATTAAACATTGTACATATGTATTCCTTTTACTTACTAACCCTGCAACATGTTTCAAAAAGTCAAGAGATCAATTTCCATTGTACAAACAATGTAGCATACCTCAATAAAGCAACATGAACAACTTAAATTTCATTCAAACAGCAACTATTCAATCTGAAAGATCACACATATTACTAAAACATATGAATTTGCTTAAATTAGTCATGCACATCTGATAATGGGGTTGCATATTTCTTCCCTTTTGCTGAAACATATAAAGGACGAGCACCTCCTATCTCTATTTTTCAAATAATATATAATTCAATCATCTTAGCTAAATCATTGACAAAACCAAAATGCATGAGTAAACATGCAAGGCTCATAAGACAGTTTCCTCCTAATCTCTAGCAACAAGCAATAACAAACAAACAAATAAATCCATTCAGCTGTTAATGCTACAGTGATCGGCGCTCCCACTTCAGGGGCTAAATTCATTCGATTCTGTCACAATACTATCGAAGAATGTTAAACACAACAAAAGCAAGAAGAAGCATACCTAATAAAGTATCCATGTTCTGCTGCAATTCCGAGCTTCTCACAAGGCAAAAACCACGTCTCTAAGCTTTCCCGACCTCTTCCGCTGACAAGAAAGACTACATTCTTCTTATCTGCACAGAGGGTATTGATGATCCTGATAACATCCGCACTGGGCCTCTTGTTCATGGATGTCGGTGGCACCAACGTCCCGTCATAATCCAGCAAGATAGCCCTACTCTTAGCTTTCACATAAGCAGACACGATTCCATCAACATGGAGTTTCCTGAAATTAGGATCGAGCGCCACCACCCTGAATCCGAATCCCAAACCAATTCCCCAACACCTCCTTCTGAAATGGTCCTTGCACGTCCTCTCCATGTCTTGCATGAAGCTCTTCGACCAATACGCAACATCATGAGTGCTGACATAACGATAGTGCTTCTCATGCCGCAGCTGTTTCTCACCGTCTGAAAGAGAGATGGCCTCATTCATGGCCTCCCCTGTGGTCTCTATGTTCCATGGATTGACCCGAATGGCTCCGCTGAGCGAGGGCGAGCAGCCGATGAATTCTGAGACCACCAGCATGCTATTCCTCGGGCTATCAGCTTGGGAACCTTGAGAATCGGCGATTCCCTGCCTGCACACGATATACTCGTAGGGTGTGAGGTTCATCCCATCCCTTACCGCCGTGACCACCACGCACTCCGCAATGGTATAGTAAGCGATCCTCTCGACCACGGAGACGGGGCGGTCGATGAAGACCACCGGGCTGTACCCCTCGTGCCCAAACGCCTTGTTGATTCGCTCGCAGCTCTCCTCGATCTCGCCCTGGATCTCTTTGAGGTCCCTTCCTCGGCCCCTCGGGGGATTGGCGATCTGGACGAGGACCGCACTGCCCTGCCACTTTGGGTGGAGCTTCAGCATGTGCTCGAAGGCGAGCAGCTTGAGGTTGATACCCTTGAAGATGTCCATATCGTCGACGCCCAGAAGCACGGTCTTGCCCTCGAACTGCTGGCGGAGCTGGTTAACCCGCCACTCCTTATCGGGAAGGCGGAGCACGGACCGGAGCTGGCCCATGTGGACGCCGACAGGCATGATCTTGATGCCGACGGTGCGGCCGAAGTAGTCGAGACCGATGTATCCCCGCTTGGATTGGTACTCGATGCCGAGCATGCGGCTGCAGCAGGAGAGGAAGTGTCGGGCGTAGTCGAAAGTGTGGAAGCCGATGAGGTCGCAATTGAGGAGGGCCTTGAGGATCTCCTCGCGGACGGGGAGGGTACGGTAGATCTCGGAGGAGGGGAAGGGGGTGTGGAGGAAGAAGCCCATGCGGAGGCGATTGAAGCGGCGGCGGAGGAAGGTGGGGAGGGCCATAAGATGATAGTCGTGGATCCAGACGTAGTCGTCCTCCGGGTTGATCACCTCGATGACCTTCTGGGAGAAGAGCTTGTTGGCGAGCACGTACGACTCCCACAAGGAGCGGTCGAAGCGGCTTCCGGAGCCGCCATGATCGGCGGAGAAGGGAAGCATGTAGTGGAACAGGGGCCAGAGGTTGTTCTTACAGAAGCCATGGTAGAATCGCTCGTGGAGGTCCGGGGGCAGGAAGGTGGGGACGCACTGGAACCGCTCGAGCAGCGCCTGGGCGACGTCGTCCTGTTCGTGAGCCTCGACGTCGACGCGTAGGGAACCGACGTAGAGGACCTCCATATCATCGGGGAGGCCATCCTTGAGCTGGAGGATGAGAGAGTCGTCGTCCCAGGCGAAAGTCCAGCCGCGATCATCGGGCCGGCGGCGGGCGCGCACCGGTAATTGGTTGGCCACGATGATGATGCGGTCCTGCGCCTGCGACGACTGCACGTCCGACGCCACGCTGTTGGCGCGCTCCTCCTCCTCCTGCAGGTCCGCCAGCGTGCCCGGCACCGTCATCACTCGCGGCAGTCGCCGCGGCGCCCGCCCCCCGCCCAGGCTCAGCGCCGAGAAGTTCCCGGACGCCAGATCGAGTAGGTTGGTATACGATCTGGACATCATCTTCTCTTCTTCCTCTGCCGCCGCCCAACCCGATCGATCCGAGCTACATAGATAGAGGGCATAAATCCATTAGCAGAAGTCACCAACCCATGAGAAGAAGGGAATTGATGGAGAAACCATTGGTTACCTTGAGGGATGGAACGGGACAAGGGAAGGAGGAAAAGGTTATACTGAGAATGGAAAGAAACAAGTTGCTTTACAAGGGAAAGAGCGAGCAATAAATTGGGACCAGGAAGACTCACCCTCTTCTTTTTTCTCTGTTCCGTAAGCCTCCTTTCTTCTTCTGCTTGTGTTTTGCTGCAGATGGGAGGGAAAGAAATAAGATGACATGATGATTCCGGATGAAGAGATTAAAAGAGGGGGAGGGGAACGTGGGTAGGTTGCAATGGGTAAGTACATAGGAGTTATGGGGTGCGACGAAACAGGATAAGGTCGGTCAGAGACCTGAGTCCCAACCCTTCCCCTGTCCAAAACGGGACCCATCGTCTACCTTGCGAGCCCCACCACGTGTTGTCCACTTCTCCACTCCGCCCCGAGACGGGTACGTTCGCGGCTAATTATGCTCGATGGACTGGTGGCGTCACGTGTGACGCGCGTGTCGTGGCTCCACGTCCCGGGGCTCTGGAAGGGTCGGTCTTCGTGGGGTGGAGCCCACTCCGGGCTCGACTCGCCGGCAGAGCTGGGTCCAACGCTGGGCCTCCGCCTCGGGGTCCGTTGAATAACAGCCGTGGTGTCTCTTCCCGGAGTTGCCACGCCGTATCGTTTTGGCTGGGGTTCATTAATGGAGGCAGGAAAAGGACGCCGGAGGGCGACGAGTAGTCGCCGCCCATCAGAGTTGACCCGCTGACGGCCACCGCCTCATTCCGCCTGTTGCAGCACGAAGCCGAAGAAACAAAAGAAGAAAAAAAAAACGACTTGCCACGTTATCGGTCTCGATCGACTCCTCGGAACGTGTAACGAGTGGTCAACGCGACGGCCAACAGGATGGGTTCGGTCGGGCCGTACGAAGGGGTGGTTTAGCAAGGACCCGATCCGGCCCTGCTGTGGCCAACCACGATCCATCTGGCACGAGGCAACGACTCCCGGCCTAAACGGGTCACACGACAAGAATGTGAACCACATTGAACGTATAAACTAATCCAACGTGATAAATAAGAGCATTGCAACTTACCGGTGGTTGAGATTCTGGCCGATTGAAAGCCCACCAGACCGTGGGAGTAACAGGTGAAGAAGCAGTACCAAAGCTACCAGCCTTCTAGAATAATCAAGAAACGCTAATACGGTATTCGTGTGATGGGCGATTGGGTTGCTGTCAGACGTATGTATGTATGTACGTATGGTTGTTCATATATGCCTCTCTTCTTTTGGGAGGTCGCTAAAAAGAAGTGCATTATGAGGATGGATGGAAAGGAGTGATGGAGATGAGGCACGGCGTGCAAGTTGGGAGGATGGAGACAAAACCTGTGGGGAAGGAAAGGTAAAAGCTGTGGTGTAGACCGCGAGAGAGATGCTATGTGGATTAGGCGACGCACAACAGTAAGAAGACACACAACAGTTACCGAAAGGTGGGCGATGGAAGAGAGAATTCTTGAAATCTAGACATGCCTCTCCATCAATAATAACATTTGAGGGGTTTAGTGAGAGGTCGCGGTCTGGGAGTTGGGGATAGGAAGGAATCACAGGCTTTACCGGTCGTAGACAACACACATGCAGGGGTCGCACCACCACTATTTTGCAGGTCAGGATCAGCTGCCCCCAACCAGGATCTCAACCTCACCGTCGAATACTTGGCACCACTATGACTTGATCCTCAAATCTTAGACTGCAAAATATCTACACGAAAAGGTGGATCCAACCTGCAAGTGGATGCAGGCATATATTCGATAGTCTTACGGATCACCATCAGCCCACAAGGGATAATAGACCGCATTGATGTTTTTTTTTATCTCACATCATTGCCCTCACAATTTCCTAGAAAACATTTATATTACATCCATTAAATTAAATAGTTTACAGAAAAAAAAATAAAGGACTCGGTCAACTGTGTGATGAGCATCAGAACATCTCAACACAGACATCACACTCATGACTTGTAGGGGGGTAGAGTTGAGGTTGGAGGACGAGCATATTAGAGACACAAGGAGGTCCAAATCTTCCAATCCATCCGCATCTCTCAAAAGGTAGGAATAGGACATGAAAGTAGCGGATTAGCTTTGTTTGGATGATAAGAGGGTGTTGTGTGTGACTCTCCAGCCTTTCCAAGGAAATCTTACGTGCATGGACGGGAAAGAACTCGGATAATGTGTAGCCACATGAAGACAAACAAATTTTATTCGCCAACATCGTTAACTTATCCTATGTGTTTGAGGGTGTCTGACACGAATATAGACACTTACTGAGTATCTCATCTACGACCGATTGGAAGCCCAATTCAGCCCAAAAGCTGTTTGGTTTTGTGAGAGCAAAATGGCCCCAAGGTTCAATAAAAACGAAAATGAAACACAATTAAAGGCACCTAAGTTGGCATCGAGTAACATCAGATCCGGTCCGACAATGGACAAGAAATAGGCCCGGAAGGGTCTTCTTAGATTTACTCGAGTATGTCTTGAATCTATTCAAATGTAATCGGTGAGACATGAAAAAGTTTCATATGAATATGATAAATATTGTAACATAAAATCAAATATATTCCACGTGGACACGCGTGCCTGCCAGCAGTAACGTTATTATATGAAGCATGTAAAAAGAGAAGGCAGGAAAGGTGCAGTGGCGGGGTTAATATTCAAACTGGGACGACGAAAGCGACAAAGGAAACGCAAAACGTTTGTCTGCGGTTTCCTCTTCGATTCTCGCCAGTCGTACGGTCTGTCGATAGAACCGGAAAAGAAGGTGTGAAAGGTTCTGTAAAGTCACCTCTCGCCAATCGCAGGCGCGGTCGGTCCCCGGTCACTCCCAGTCCGCCACTTTCTTTCAAACGCCACTACCAAACCCACCCCCCTCCCTCCCCCACGATTCACATAACCGCCACCTTCACCCCTCCCTCCCTCTCTCTTTCTAACCGATTCGCGACTACTTTCTCTCCTTAATTCTACCGGCCTCCCCATCAGAATTCAGACCACGATGATCGAGAAGATGAAGTGGAGAAGAAATCGACAGCAGCATCAACAAGAACAAGAAGAACGACGAAAGCAAGAGGGGAAAAAGAATGAGAAGAAGAACAACAAGCATACCTCGAGCTTTTCCTTCTCCTCATGGTTGGCGAAACTCAAGCCGAAGCGAGGCGTTGCAACCGCCGCTGCGGCACGCGACGCCGTCTTCGCTCCTCCGCCATCACCTCGCCCGCCCGACCCCAGCCCCCGCTCAGCCCATCTCTCCTTCTCCCCCGCCGCCCGCTTCCCCCCGCCCGTTCCCCGCCGCCTGTCCGTCTGGGACGACGCCGGCGGCCTCCGACCCAGGATTGCTCCCGTGAGGGCGCGCCGCCGGTCCGCCAGGCATCACTCCGTGGGCGACCTCGAGCTCACCCTCGGGCATATAATTCCCTTCTCGAGGCGGTGGGCCGAGTCGGACTCGGGGACCGATGCTTCGGGATGCGATCTCGGCCACGGCCGGCGCCCCCCGCGGCCGCGGAGGCGGCGTAGCGCGCGAACCACGGCAGGATATGCTTCGGACCAGCGAGCGGATCCTGACGCGCGGGATGGCCTCCCGCGGCGATCGTTCACCGGGAAGATCCGGCACAGGGCCAAGGTCAGGGTCCGCTCGCCGCGCACGGCGGCGGTGAGGGCGGAGGAGGTGGAGAGGATGAGGGCGGCGTCAAGGAGGAAGCGGGAGGAGGAGGTGGCGAGGAGGGGTCTGGAGAGGTTCGCGGTGGTGAAGTGCTCGTCCGACCCGCAGACGGACTTCAGGGAGTCGATGGTGGAGATGATATGTGAGAAGGGTCTCGGACGGCCGGAGGAGATGGAGAGCCTGCTCGCGTGCTACCTCGCGCTCAACTCGGACGAGCACCACGACGTGATCGTCAAGGTGTTCCGCCAGGTCTGGTTCGAGCTCAACCTGGAGCGGCTCGCCCACGAGTCCAATCGACGGCGTTGATGAATCCTTCTCCCCGCATCGATCACCGTCGGATCTCAATTGCCACTGTATTTTCTCTATAATTAGATGTCAATAAAGACACTTTTCTCTGTTATTTATGTGTTGGACTATGCCGCTGTGAACGATAGAACAGTTTAATTGAGGCTATAAAAGAAGCTATACAGATTATTACGATATAAATTGCTTGTTGGTATGAATAAAATTAACATTACCTACACAATATAGTACATGCTATCACTAATATTACTACTATAACAAATGTAGCCAGTCTCTGTTATCAACTATCCCAAGTACAATTCACCAAGTAACCTTAAAATTGGCATCTATCCTGAGCCAAAAAAAAATAAAGTCTTTGGGCACTTGCTAATGTTCACTAATAAGGAGAACCTCTAATGAAAATGAGTCATTCTGAGGTTGACATGAACACTGAAGGATGACATTCTTGAATGTTTGCAAAGAGCATGTAGTTATAGAGAAATGATGTATGGAAGAAACAGGGAAAAACTAGCAAGTGAGATATCTATTTGGTAGTAAAAAAAAGGTCAAGCAATTTTACCAACTCTCTCTCTCTCTCTCTCTCTCTCTGGCATTGGGTAATGACAACTATGAAGTTGTTTACTGGATGTTGGTCTCCTGCAACATAGGGAAATCATTATCTGCAAACTTGATCAATAGGCATGAAAACTCTTGTATCTTTTAAATAAGTACAGAATCCTTGGAAAAAGAATAGTTCAAAAGATCTAAACAAGTCAATTCTTTCTTTTCAACAAGTCTTACCAACATCAATATGCATACTTCTTCAATGGCATTTCACAGAGAACAATGACAGTAAGTTATATAGCTCTGTAAAAGATTAAACAGACCAGGGCTCACTGTGCAAAGATGCACCTGAAGGCAACAACAAACACTATGGACTTTGCAGAACAGAAAACAAATGTTCAGTTCATAAGATGAAAATTCATATCAAACAATTAGAAGAAATATGTTTCAGTTTGAACAAATTTGCAAAATACATCAGTTGTTACATCAAGTAAATTAATAAAGAAGTGCCTCAGCTGTTAAAGAAGGTGAAATCAAGAAAGGTATGGAATGCAAAGATACATTTGACGAGGTAATTCTAGGTTTATCTTAAACTAAA